GCTGCTGCTGCTGCTGCTTGGTAGCTGCTGTTGATGCTGCTGCTGCTTGTTAGCTGCTGTTGATGCTGCTGCTGCTTGGTAGCTGCTGTTGATGCTGCTGCTGCTGCTTGGTAGCTGCTGCTGATGCTGCTGCTGCTTGGTAGCTGCTGCTGCTGCTGCTGATACTGCTGCTGCTTGGTAGCTGCTGTTGCAGCAGCAGGAGCTTGGTGCTGCTGTTGATGCTGCTGCTGCTTGGTCTGCTTGGTAGCTGCTGTTGCAGCAGCAGGAGCTTGGTATCTGCTGTTGGTGCTGGGTAGCTGCTGCTGCTGCTGCTGCTGCTGCATGGTAGCTGCTGTTGCTGCTGCTGCTTGGTAGCTGCTGTTGCTGGGGCTGCTTGGTAGCTGCTGCTGCTGCTGCTGGGTAGCTGTAGCTGCTGCTTGGTAGCTGCTGTTGCTGCTGCTGCTGTTTGGTAGCTGCTGCTGCTGCTGCTGCTTGGTAGCTGCTGCTGCTGCTGCCTTTGCTGCTGCTGCTGCCTTTGCTGCTGCTTTGCTGCTGCTTTTCTGCTGCTGCTGCTGCTTTGCTGCTGCTTGGCTGCTGCTGCTGCTTGGCTGCTACTGCTGCTTGGCTGCTGCTGCTGCGGCTGCTGCTTGGCCGCTGCTGCTGCTTGGCTGCTGCTGCTGCTGCTGCTGCTTGGCTGCTGCTGCTGCTTGGTAGCTGCTGCTGATGCTGGTGCTGCTGCTGCTTGGTGGCTCCTGCTGATGCTGCTGCTGCTTGGTAGCTGCTGCTGATGCTGCTGCTGCCTGGTAGCTGCTGCTGCTTGGTAGCTGCTGCTGCTGCTACTGCTGCTGCTGCTGCTGCTTGGTAGCTGATGCTGCTGTTGCTTGGTAGCTGCTGCTGGCTGCTGCTGCTTGGTAGCTGCTGCTGCTGTTGCTTGGTAGCTGTTGCTGCTGCTGCTGCTGCTGCTGCTGCTTGGTAGTTGCTGCTGCTGCTTGGTAGTTGCTGCTGCTGCTTGGTAGCTGCTCCTGCTGCTGCTGCTTGGTAGCTTGTGCTGCTCCTTGCTAGCTACTCCTGCTGCTGCTTCTGCTGCTGCTTGGTAGCTTCTGCTTGCTGCCGCTGCCGCTGCTGGTTACAGTTGTTGTTGTTGTTGTTGTGGCTGTTGCTGCTGCTGCTGCGGCGGTTGCTGGGGTGGTTGTGTGTTGCCATGTGTTGGCTGTGTTGGGGTCGTATTGGGGGGGGGGCGCTGTTGGCACTCTCCTTTTCCCTTGGCCATGGCATGTTGCGATTCCCGGCCAGGCTTTTGCTGCCTAAAGAGCCCCAGCGTTGTTTATTTGCCTAGCTTTCGCCACCCCCCCTCTGGGCCACAAGTTTGGGGTAGATCTTCGCGGGCACGCAGATCATATTTCTTTGGTGCTGGACACCTGGAAATCTAAGAACATGCCTATGGTTGATGTCCGCCAGCTGGCATGGGTACCACCTTGCAACGTTGGATGTTGCTTAGGATGCACTTCCATAACCATGGAGGTTGCTTAGGCTTAGGGCCGACCAAAGGGTTTCTCAGCCCGACTCGCTCAGGTTCTGACGTATTTGTTTGCGATCCTCGGGTGTCAGACCATCAGCCGAGAGATGCTGGCACAAATTCCTGGAAAGGAGGCAGGAACTTTTTTTTGGATCGAACACACCGGGCGCGGAGAAACAACTGGTATCTGTGAACTGTTCCATGCTTGTATATACCACCTCTTTGGAAGACGGAGGGTGCACGTTCGCCAATGTTTTTTTTCGTGTTCTTTAGTATTTTTCAGCATGATAATTTACCTCACAACGCCCGCAGGAGGATGAGCTGGCGAAGCTGCTGGGAGTCTATGACTATGTCAAGGGCATTGGGCCACTGATGCAGCGACTCCGTTGCAGCCGCAGTTTCCGCGTTTAGGCATAAGTGGAAAGACATTCTGTGTGTATGTTTGTTTTGTTCTCCTTAAGACCTTTAGATTTGGACCTGTTTTGTGTTTTCCCCTCCGCTATTTCCTATTTCCATAGAAGGTTTCGTCTACGGTTGCTGGTGGAAGCCTGCGTTGGCGTTCCACACAGGTACTTGTACATGAACGAACAGAAGGCGACCTCCCACTGATATACGTTTCATTATGCCCATGTCATTGGTACCAACAAGTCCTAAGTCATTGCTCCTCAGTATATGTTTTTTGCAATCTAGATGTTCTCTTCCTGAATATTTTTTGAGCCATTCTGTCTAAGCAGTTTTAAGCACTTTGGATCCAACTGATGGCAGGAACTGAGTTCGCTCTGAATGCTGCCGAAGCAGGTTATCACGGTAACTTATTTAGTTTTATTTCTATTAAGTTATATTAGTTGTTGCCTTTTGCCATTGGAAGATCTCGGAACTACCGCTGGAAGGGTTTGTTTGGGTGTCGGCGCTGCCGGCCTATTTTTCTTGCTGTCCAGATGTGTGGGGCCAAGAGTGTTCACGTGCGCCCTGAAAGGACATGAATCATGGCATCAGCGGGCATTTGGTGCATTTGAGACTGAGAACATGCTAGCACTACGGGTCAGGTCGATGCGATGGTTTTTTTTCCCGCCCAAGTGCAAGTTTGGGCAGCTTAGTCCACCCTAGCCCTGCCCTCCCAAAGAATTGCAGTCAGTTATTCTCACCACCAATGATTCAATGGACTGAACAAAAAGAAGGTGGGGTTGAATTTAGCCATCCGGACGGACCGGGCCGCCCCATGAACCTAAGGACTGTTAATAGGCAGGAAAAGATGGCCACAAAGTCTTCTAATGCAGGTTGTTGATGTAAAAAAGTTGAACAAAGTGATACATAATTTAATGTTGAAAACTACTTTGTTCGAACCTTCAAACGCAGGTTGTTGATCCAGTTCCTCACCTTGGACTCTTGGAACTCGAAGATGGACCAGATCATCCCGTGCCTCGGTTCGGATTGATCAATCGGATGCCCGATGAAACGGTGAAGCGCTTGACCCTTTGGATGCAGTGGTACCAGTTGCATCATTTTCCCAGTTGCACGTCTTGGAACATTGGCATTTTGCGGCGCACCTCAGGGTAGCAGCAGCAGTAGCAATCGCAGTAGCAATTTGTTCCTTGTTGAGGAGGGATGCTCACTCCATGCAGCTACTCCGAGGGGTTCCAAGGGTGCGTAGAGCCCCCCAGCAGCCCACAACCATTGCAGAGATATTCTGGATTACTAGACAATAATAGACTATACTATACAACTATAAATCTAACGTTGGAGTTTGGAAGAGAAAACAACCAAAAACTGCCAGTATGTTACTTGGCCTTGGTCAACGGATTAAACACATCAATCAAAAACACTAGATAAGATATAAGTTATTTGCCATCCACGAATAAGTCCCTGAACAATGTAATTCCGGGGGTCATTCCTGTAGATTATTCTACTGCAATATTGTTTGGATGTTATTTTGTAGATGAAAGACTGATACCATAGATACATTTGACAGAATGAACGTTACTGTTTAGATGTGGAACTATTTGTCCTCAGGTGTAAATTTGTTTTACTATCGTAGCAACCATCTCGACCGCTTTTTTTTGCAAGTTGATAACCTATTAATCCTTATATAGATTGTTTGAAGAACTCAAGACACCATGATTGATAAAGGGGAAGGAGATAGAACCATTCATAAGGTGTGGCAAGGTAGAATGTGAAAGAGGACAAAGGAATAAGATAGTAATATATATAACTTATAAGAGACATATACTCAATGTCTATGGCATTCATCGTGAGCAGAAACTACAATGATTCATATATGAAAAGGACATGATTCAAATGGAAACAAGTAAATAATTGGGCTATGCCCTTTCTTTGGCACACATGGATCAGAATGGGTCTTAGCAAAGCACACCAACTGATTAAACTGCACTCAGCGCTGGACAATGCACATCAATGCTTTGGTTTCCCCTTGCTGGATTTTGGGTCAGGCTTTTGTTTGCGGATGCATTGCAGGAAGCCTTTGATGCGTTCAGTTTGCCGAGTCAAAGGTGGGTAGAATTCTGCAAACCCATGTCTAACCCTGTTGTGTCCATCTATGAATGGTGGCATTAACCTGGACGATTGTGGACGCAGGCAGATCCTAAACTCGGTGGCAGGTCCTCGGGTCCCGAATAAGACTTGGACAAGGCTGATATGTCAAGGCTGTTACCTAGAATCGATGCAGTGGATGCCCGTCTTTCGATGCAGTGGATGCAGGTCCCGGGGCCACTGAGGCCACTGACCAACGACGCGTGCCGGAGTTTGTTGCGCAAAGAAACATTACAGTGCAATGTGTTTTGGTTTGTGGAGCTGTTGCAAGCTGTGTTATTCCTGAGGTATGCGAATGGATGCATCATATATTTCTACATGTACATTGCACCTCGGAGATCAACTGTTTTGGAATAGTTGCTTCACATGATTGTTTGTCAGTTGCCTAGGGCCTAGGACACAGGTCTTGCTGAGACAGGCGTGCTCGTTTAAGACAGAGATCATGTGCCCTGCTCGATTACACTGCGAGGTTTATTTAGTCTTGTGACACAATGAGAGTTCCACCAGCATTCTAGGAACTATGTATTCACCCGGAATCCTTCGAAGGATTTCAAAGGTTTTTGGTGAGAGGAGTTAAGTGTCTATGAACATGGATGTGATGAATATGCATTCACAACACCCTTGCCTTAAATCCCAAGTGGTAGTTTAAAAAGGGGGGAATAAGACATGTCTTCGTGATTTGAGCGAGGGTGTTCTGAATGTTTTTGCGTGCCAGAAAATGCACAACGAGGCAGTAGCCGTCTTTGTTCTCATGAACTTGGTGACGGCCATTATCGCACCTGGGCAGAGAAGGAAGAAACAGAGCTGCCATGAGGAAGAAACAGAGCTGTTTTGGACCACTGGCACTGACACATCTCCTGTACAACTTACTACACGGAGAGAGAGAGAGAGAGAGCTTTATTGCACCCAATCATTTTGTGTACAGTGCATATCAGGTCTCAAACAGGCGATTGAAGAGGAGGGATTCACAGCCAATGCCAATGATGACCTTTATGCGTTGGATTTCATTTCCACAGGCTTGAGATTTCTAAGCTAGCAATTTGCAAGGCAACAGTTATATAACGGGGTGTGATTTTGATTGTCCACCAAAACGAAGGGCAGCTGGAAACTCACCAAAGATTTTGGGTGGCTTCTTTGTTTTGTTTTTTCGGTCTCCACACTGGGCTGCAAGCAAGGTTGAAAACGCCATGTCGACGTCCAAGATGGATGAGAATGAGAAGCTCAAACAGCCTCTTGTCTTTATTGCCATGTTTATAGGCCGCTAGACAAAGGCTACGCTCTTTTGTATTAGAGCAGTAAAGGCTCTTTTCGTGAACATCCATGCCCAGATGTTTGAATACAAAACTCAAAAGCTCAAAATGCCTACTAGCATACTGCCAAGTGATCTTACCTTGTTCAAGCGCCTTTGTATGCTTAAAAAATCTTTAAAAGCATGTCAATGTCATTTCTTGTTTTGGTGTATATTTGTATGTACAGTAATTTTAGGCTAGTTATGGCTAATTTGAGCGTTGGTCAACAGATGCACGAGGACGTTGTACCCAGCGTGTTCATCACGGGGCTAACCATTAGATCAAGGGCCATCATTTGCGAGTTTCGACCGGAACAACTCTTCTCCACGCCCGCGCACCCACCACTTGGGGCTTAGAGGCGTTCAGTCCTCATTCTCCCACCACTCACCACCCCCAGAGCTTCATATTTGCAAGTCAGCACCATGTGGCACAGAAATGACCCTGTGAATTCTTGGAGACGGCAGGGCTGTTTCCAGGAGCTTCCAGACATCCAAGTTCCGATTGATTCAACCGCAGGTTGGCCAGCCCTCAGGTTGAACGGACATGGCACCCCCAAATGCCCACCCATGTGCATGAGCCACTTTTCAGGATGGAAGATATTAAGAAGAAAGAGCTCAAGGAGTTGGAGTGTCTTGATGATTTCATTCCGCGGGGCCAAACGATGCACGGGTGGTTCTACGTTGCAGCCGGGTTTGGAGTATTGCCGCTTTGTTCTTCTAAAGCAACAATTGATGGAACTGATACGTTTCTAGAACCAACACGTTTCGGCCATTCCTTTTGGACATGACATGATGGAAGCAGTTAAACTACACTTGCAAAAAATAAAATCAACATCCCGCCCAGCCAATTACTGCAAGACTGCCTTATTTGTCAATCTCCCTCAGTTTCTCCAACATTATTTGTTTCTCTCTCTGTCTCTCTCTCTCTCTTTCTCTCCTTTGTGCTTATGTTGTCCCCTCCTTAATAACATGTGCCCTTCGTTGGTGCACAAGTCGCCTTTGATGAACTGCATGTGTATATATATATATATATACTGTATATGTATATAAATATATACATATATGTATAGCCTAATATTTTTTGTGCGCGTGTGTCCATGTATAATCATATATAATGGGGGCGTGAGTGCCCTTGTGAATCCTTGTTGGGTTCTTCACACGAGAGCCTGGGTTTTCTTCAACGATTCCTGAGCACACCATCAACCAACGTGTGACAACGGCTTGGTTTGTCAGAACCGTTTCATGTTGAAAACAGGTTTGTGTGCATGGTGTTCCATGCAGATACCTCAATTCCCCCCTTCAGGGGAATCATGGAAGCCTAAGCCTTTCTAGATTCTAGAGGAAAAGTGGTGTCCACTTCCATTTTTCTTCGAGGGGCCAGATCAGACATCGATGCCTTTTCTTAGCACAGGTGAGACATTCAGAACTGGCCAAGCAATCAACCTGGTGAAACATTCTTAATAATTCTAGGTTTAGTTCTTCTATATCACCGTCTCTCGAGGCACCTCTTCTACCTCATGGATGCGGACGGGGATGGCACGCTTGACTGGGAAGAGATTCTTGACCAAGTCGGGTGGCTGTCACAGGTTGGCCAAGAAAGTCAGGGACATGGAACCAAGATGTTTTCCTCGGGGAATGAACGAAGATTATTCTTTTTGTTGGTTTTAAGTAATGATTATGTGTCACATTCTTGTAATTATATATAGATATAATAAGGATTGATTAATAAGGTTCTTTTCGGTCATATTATTATTAGTCCTCGTGTTCTTCGAGCCTGGTGAGAACAATGAAATCATCAAATTGTTTTGCTGGGTCCCTGATCCAGGGACATGCTACTTCACAACCTTTGATCATGATCCGTTTTTTGGTGTTGAAGGGTTTTGACAATACTGAGGATTCCGAAAGGGTGCTTTTTTCCTGGCTGCAGCCTTTGGACCCCATTGATAATGACGATCTTAAAGGAGTTTGAATCCTCCGCCAGAGACGGTGCCCAGCATCAGTGGATGTTCCTTATGGGCCTCCGCATCACCTTCCTCTTCTGCCGAGGTTCGAGAATGCCTTCTTGGACGAAGAAATGAGCCGGTGATGTGGCTCAAAACTCTGGGCGGCTTCGCTGGGCGTTCGCTGGGCTGATGTAGTCCAGTGGGGGTGTTTGACAGGCACACCTTCGAACACCTAGTAAGGGTGGCAGGTGGGCACCCCTAAACATAAACCTATCCAAACCTGGCTTTTTGCGGGCGTTGGTCCTTATGGTCCTCTCACCAAACCTGACAAAAGACAACTACCGGTAACTACCGGCAGTCCCAAAAACCTTCGAAGCCAGACATGGGTCCTCCAATGCCCTCGAAGGGTTCTTGGATCTTTTGGGGGTTCCAAACTTGTTAGGGCGGTGAACTTTTGCACCTGTCACGGGCTCTATTAGAGATTCAGTGTGGATCGTGGTTCACCTCCAGAGTTTCTTTATGTTGCTTTGGAGCGTTGTGATTGCTTTCTTGGATTCAGTCGTACTTCAATCTGACATAATCTGACTGTTTTTTTCGGATTTGTTGTGCATCATGTTTCACATGACCCTTGCGAAGCCCTCCCAAGGAAGTGGCGGCTGCTCGACTTTGGGCCAGACGAGTGTAAGGAGCCTGGAACGATGTTCACCATTTTGGGTCACGGCAATCCACTAATGGAGCTGATCGGACCCGATGGAAGATTGTTCAGGGTGTTGTGGAGCTACATTTGGCCCCCCGCATTGCCATACATTGCCCATGTGGTTGGTGTTTTGGAGATCGGTGTCACTTCTTTTGGGATGGTGTGCCAACCCGATGCGTGTACCAGACTGACTTTTTGGCTTTTCATGGATGTTTATCATGTCTATATAAACATTAGGTATATACATGTGCTTTGTCGTGCTCTCACTGTTTTGATGTATTCGACCACTAATTACCGTGGCTGGAGACGAAAAAGCTTCGTTACAACCACCGACACCGTCGCCCCAAGACGCTCTCAGACACCCATCCTGGATCCAGCGGGGAGGACCAACATGGAGTGCTGGAGCATATGACCCCGATGGGAAAGACCATGGCATTAGAGCATCCAAATTGCAACAGACTTTGATCATCTTTGATCACCATCACTGATTCTTCGAGATTCCACCTGTCAGACAACCAGTTGAGACCAGTTGAGACCACCCAGAAAACACTTCAGACTTCATCCAGTAGACCACCCCTCGGAGTTCTTCCCCCCAAAACATCCGAACACCACGCCGCTTCGATGGAACGGCGCGTCAACGCGGCACCGTCTCCGCCGGTCCGGTCGGACCGGACGTGTCGGAAGGAGCTCTTCGATCTCCTGGACGATGGGGACGGAGGTATCCACACTTCCGAGTTCTTCCATGGCCTGGCAAGGATGAAAGGAGGCCTGTGGGTTGGGCCGGTGAATGGCGGCAACGAGTATGGCGATTGGGTCCATGTTTGAGCAGCCTTGGAAGTCCCGTGTGTCATTGCCATTTTTGCTGTGGAGGCTAACCATTCATTGATTGTTCATTTAAAAGAGTATTTACAGGCGCTGCATAGTTGCAAACAGAATCAACACGATGCTTAAAACTATAGTCAATTCATCATGCTCATAGATCCCCGTATCATTTGTTGAGAGGACGAGTTCACACAGAGAACGAATCTTCGGCCGTCTCGAACAACCGGAGGTCCCAAGTTCCTGCTCCTCGCAGAATGGGGGTTCTGAAGCCACAAACAAGACTCGAAATCAAGGTAGAACGGAGACCATGTCGTGGGTCTCTATTGACTCTATCCACCAGTTTCTGGGATGTGATGCGGAATGTCTACCACCCGGACCTGGCGGATCCTGCTACTTGTACTCTACTCGTTCCTATTTGTTTGAAGCTGTTCCACTGTATAGACTGGAGGACTACCGAACTTGAATTCAGATGGAGAGGCGGTAGTTGGCTTTGATGGAATAATGTCAAGTGTAATATATATATATATATACATATAAAACTCTCAAGCATGTTCGTGGGAGCTCCACAAACATTGGGATTAAGGGGTGCGTCACCTTGCTGGCAGTTCCAGTTGCTGGCAGGTGCCCAGTCCAGGGATTTGATGCGCGTTGGACAGCAAGTCGACACCTGGCTGAACGTTGGGCAGATGTTTTTCCCTGCAAATTCTTGACGTTCGGAAAGTGGCCTGGAGCCATTTCTCAGAGAGTGACAGACGTTGTCCTGCGCAAGTTTTTATGGCTTCAGTTGATGGGGCCATGGATGGCCATGGATGGCCATAGCCTACCCCTAAGCGACCCCCAAGCGCCTTAGCTTTTCTTGACTTCATCCACATTGAAGTATAGCTGTATTGGGGTGGATATTTGGCGGTTGAAGACCGTCATACGGGTCATACGGATGAATTGAATAGCTTCATGAATATATAGGGCCCATATGGCCCCATCGTTTGAAACTTGGCGTGCTTTGACCAACCGACTGACGATCAGGGCATTTTCGACATGGAAGTCACGGAAGGATGTTTTGAAAGAGAGAGAGAGAGAGGGAGAGAGAGAAAACAACATATCAGGGCAAAGAAGAAGGTCTAACGGTCCGAAGAAAAGGGCAGAACATTTTGGGACCCATGAGGCCCATCGACTCTCATGGACTTAGGATCGTATTGGCAAAGAATTGGACAAGCTCATCGAAGCATGGAAGACCGAGAGACGAAGCAACCAAATTGACAGTCTGGAACTTAGCATTTTGCGCAGTGATTCTTGGATCATTCGGTGTGCTACTTGCCATCCATGGGAGACACTCCCTCAACTAACGGAGCCAATAGCCCCATTTGTTGCTATGATATGCGCCGAAAGGTACGTGCGCGGAAAAATGTATTTGTTTTTCTGTCAAGTGAGTTTGACAAGGCTTCCTTTCATTGCTTTGGCATCAACAGTGTGACATGTTGGAGGAAACTTATATATTGTTCAAGATCCGTTCTCGCATACAGGTCGTGAGTGTTTGCATACGGTGGTTCCTCGTCGAAGAACTGAGGCGCGACTGCATCCGAACTAGGCGGGCTGGCAGTCATTCTGGAAGCTTCGTCCTGTTTTGCATTTACATCCTGCTCTCCTTGGTCAAGGTGTGTGATACACTAGGTTATAGCCTAGCTGGCAATTCACGTTACACCCGCTAAAAAGGAAAATTCGCTTATATAAACCGCATGTGTTAAATCCTAACCGCATTCTTGTTTTCTTTGTACGGGGCCACTTCACGTCATAGGTTTAATTTTTGGGTCCACACGGGTCCGGTCACGCACCCTGTATACCCCCAAAAACGCATGCGAACGTCGGGTGTTTGAACACGCAGTCTTTGCTTCCCCCTGCAGCGTCTTCGAACGACGAAACACACGAGCAGAAACACCGACTTTCTGCCAGGTTCTCGCCGCTTGGCTCGACGAAAACGGTGCCGAAATTGGGGGGGCTGTACTGCAAGGTGGTTGTTCTCCAACAAGGCCGTCTTAGACTGTAAAAGATGTCACAAACAGTTATATATTCTAAATATACTTTTATATATACATAAAGCAAGAGTCCAAGCTTACTTGCCTCTATATACCATTATATATATATATGGATTGTTTTTGTTTTAACACATTCGAACATCCGGCTTTTTCTGTCAAACGGACAAATACGGTTGGAATTCCTCCGTGGTGTTTGGTTGTGTTTGCTTTCCATTGCTTGTTTTTCCAATAGAAAGTTGAGAGAGAACTTGGGTTTCATATATTGGGTACGGTTTGGTACGGTATGTGTTTTTGTGGGGTCCATCCAGCTAAATACGCTCATAGCCTCGACATAGGCTGCCTCAAACAACAACGTGCCAGAGCTTGCTGTGAAAGATCAATACTCAGCAAGCCATGGGCAAGTTAGACCGGCCAGGGCACAAGGTTGCACGCAGAACCTTGCAAGGAGGCAAGACAAGCACTGAAGCAATGTCCATTACGGGAAATTCTGTCCAAATACGGCCCTTCGCGTAAGATAAGTTAATTTCGGGTTAACTTGCCCATGGCTTGCTGAGTATTGATCTTTCAAAGCAAGCTTTGGCACGCTGTTGTTTGAGGCAGCCTATGTTGAGGCTATTTCAAATGACGTTGCCTTTCCAGACATGTATATATAATAGTTGGGTCCGTTTGTTCTTACCTGTAACAGTCAGTAAACAATTATCATCATTTTTGAACAAGGTCTTTACTAACCATCATCATCCACTGTCACGGGTAATAGGATAGACCCAAAGGCTTATAATCATGTTCTTATTAATTAATCATCTACCTACATTTTTGGAGCCTGGTTTGGGCCTTCACTTTCTCCACTGTTCCTTCTGAACAATTAGCAGTCATTCGTCATGTTCATGTCTCAGGTGGCCAGGTCGTTGCGAAGGTAGCTTTGCTTGTCTAGGTGGAAAGATTGACCATACAGCGTACGGTCACATACCACGATGTGGGTGGGACATCCTCCAAATCTGACTTTCTTGGAGCCTCCCAGAGCTGTTGGAGCCTCCCGGAGCTGTGTGTCTTCGAGGGAGCCTCCAATCTCTTCCTGCTTGCGGCGGGTTTGTAGCGCACCAAATATTGCCTCGCGGCAACCAAGCCGACTTTCACAAATATTGCACCAATCAAACTAGCAAAGTGTAGGTAGACCACGGATAAAGGCCTCGTGTCCGTTTTTGAGCCGTTTGCTTTTTGAAGTCATGTGCTACCCCATGTGTGTGTGTGGGGTGGGGCGGGGATAATAACGTTCGTTGCACATGCTCCGCAAGTACTTCTCTTCGCGAAGTGATGTGCGTAGGGTGGTGTGCGGGAATGTTTGCACAGTATTTTTTCAGAACGGGGGACTCTCAGCGTGCACATTTGGTATTTTGTGTGTGCTTTACAATCTTTACACATGTCACATCAAGCACTTTTTAAGTCAATTTATTCGCATGCCACTTATCATACTTATCACAATTTTGACATGTTTCTTATTGTTTGCTGAGAAGGGCCAAGGAAACCACTTTAGTTGTTACGGTATCCTTGTGCTAATCTGCAACTAGGGCATCGAAAGACGCCTTCCGCGTCAACCAAATCAAACAATATACGAGCAGTTTGTTCATGCTTGCGCAACTTCGCCAGCCTCATGAATGACATGCGAGCAGACATGTGTTTTTTTTCATTTTTTTTCTATGCCTAGCTCGGCGCCACAACCTTGCGGCGAAGGATGGCACTGAATACTTAGTATTGCTTACACCCCAGCAGAGGCGTTGTATGAAACCATGCTTGCTTCCACCACTACAAGTGCAATTCCGGCCTTCACTCACTGAGGAAGAAACCATCGAACAATGCCAGCATATTCCAGCCTCACCTCGAAGAAAACGGCCAAGAAGTGAGAGCTGGTCCACTCAATTCCCATAGGTTTTCTCGTTTTTAGGGGGGTCCATGCAATGATTAAGGCACACAATTTGGACGTATAGGCAAGAATACCTTCACAAAAATTGGCAATGTGATCAGTAAGGGAGTTTTGCACTCGCTGGCCACAGAGCCTTTTGACTCCGTGCACGCTCGAAGTCCACCAATTTGGTGGGGCCCCCCCTCAGTCAACAGCGGTGCTGTTGCTTTGAGCCAACATGGTGTCCTAATGAAACGCATGGATTGTTTGACCCAACAAATGATCCAATATTTTTTCGGGTGTTCAATTATTTATGTTGGCTGTGAACGGCATACAGTAGTGGAACACGGACCCTTGGAGCTAGAAAAGCAGCAAGACATGTTCCGCCAGGGCCAATTGGCCAATGGTGATTCCCCAATCAACGGGGGTTAGAGTTGTTGTTGATAAAAACTAGTTGTCCTTATGCCAGATGGGTGTTGGGGTTGATCAAATGCACCCAGGAAGCCGCAACGACAGTGGGAGCGAGATCTCAGTTGCTTGGATGATGGCGATTGACGTTGGGATGTTTTGTTGACCTGACTCCATCTGACTCCAGAGCTGCATACAAATTGGAGAAAGTGCTGGTGAAATTGCACATGCAGGAGCTCCATGGAGCTCCATCCAAGAGTTGAAAAAGGATTGAACGATATTGAAAGAGGGTTTTGGACAATATCCTTTTGGCACATTGTGGGGCAAGGAAACCGGTTAACGGAGTAAACAAAGGATGTGATTGAGATGCGTTGCATGTGTTTCGGACGTCGGGATTCTGCAAATGATGATTTTTCAGGGTGATGTTGTGTTGGATTTGTGGCAGCTTGCAGGGACATGGCAGAACCTTGCCGTTGCAGCTCTTTTGGATTTGTTCCACTTCATCACGTGAATAAGGAAAAAGATACAGCAGAGATTGGGACTGACCCTGTCCCATCAAAGAAGCTTTGCTTAGGACATCTTTGACAAGAAGAAGAAAAGGAACGCCAAATCACCCAAGTTGGGCATTGACGAGGTGCCGACTCCGAGTGCTTTGGAATCGGGCCAAAAAAAGGAACCCACGAGTAAGGCACCATCCTCCTTTTCCATCGTTATTTTTCGGGAAGGCCGATGAAGAAAGGTTGGCTCCTTTTCATTGTTGATTGTGCTAGGTGGTTGGCCACCAAGCTGACCTAACAATAGATGGTTTTCACTTGTGCTGTCAGAAGATTGTTGAGTTTGTGGTAAATGGCAAATGGACGTGACATGACATGTCTCACATATTCTCAAATATCTTAGCGATGTTTAGCTTGGAATTCTGGATGGCAAGCGCCTGCCACATGGCATGCCACGTGAGCCCTTGTATTGAGATGGCATGTGGGCAAGGGCCCTGGCCCTAGGGGACGTTATCTTCCAGGAATCTGCTTGAGCCATGGGGATTTCTGCCAGCACTCAGGATAGGATGCCACGCTGCGCTTCAAAGAACCGCCACATGCAATAATAAGCCATGACAACAGACCAAGATTCATCCAAGCCTGAAGTATCATGTTGCCATAATGTAAGATGCCAAGCAATGAAATGACAATGACGCAATTTCTACAAGGAATCGTGAGGTACTGTGGGCACGCCTCCCGTCGCTTGTGCAGTACCTGCCGCGGGGGGGCCAATTCAGCAGCTCACACATGCAATTCAGCACCAGCGCCACTATATTCTTGGCGTGCTTATCTTCATCTTCAGATGTTCTGCATGCAGCGTTGGTGTTGCTGCAGTATGCATTGTATGCTTGGTTGGTTGGTTGCTTGCTTGCTTGGTTGGTTGGTTGGTTGGTTGTTTGTTCGGTTAGAGACACCAGTGACAAATTGTGTGTCATTTCAAGGCACAGGGAGAGGACTCCTAGAAAGGATGGCAACTGCTAATTGCTACTAACCAGGCAAGACCCACGCCAGAGCTAGATGGCCAGGATCCAGTTACCCCTTTAGCCCGACAGCGCCTCCTTTTTCCGACACCGTGACACCGCAGAAGGCGGCCGTCCTTGCCAGAAGGCGGCCGTTCAGGGCGACCAGAAGAAGCCCGTGTGTGTCCTGCTCGAAGAGGAAACAGGGACAAAGCAGAGGAAGAGGGGACATTGCTTCTGGCAGAGGCAGTGCTAAATTCTCGCTTGGGAAGGCATGAGTTCAGACAGATTGCTTACATGACTCAAGCCATTTGGATTGGTTTCAGTCCCTTTAAGAATGCATTACGATGCTTTACGCCTGCTCCCCCGCTTGTGCTCACCCCAGCGGATCACACAAGCAGAGATTCGCGGACTGCTTTTCTCCCCCCCAAAACCACCAGATGCACCAGCCACTCAATCGAGCAACTTGCCCCGACACACGCGTGTGGACATGATCCATTGTAACCGGGCTGGCTTTCAGTGCCATTTGCTCGGTGGAAGTGAGCAACCATGGGCAGTGTCGCCACTGCAGGACCTGTCCGTAACGGCGAGAGTTCAGCGTTGCCAACGTGGCTTCACAGTTCGGATAGTCTTTGTTGATTAATCAAAATCAGTCAGTCAACCAATCAACATACCCAAAGGTCCAGAATAGGGAATGATCGTCTCCTACAGCTCAACCCGTTTCAATGCAGTGATAGAGAAAAGGGGCGGGTAGTTGATGTTTCTCTTGCCATTTGCATGGACAAATGGCATTTCTTGGGGGGGGCTTTGGCATGGGCATGCCGACGCGAAACCCTTATAGGAATTGCCAAGGTGAAGTGCCATACGACCCCCATGTGAAGTGTCAAGCAGACTTGATGACCAAGAGTTGAGGTTTGGTTAGATGTTGCCGAGCCCAAGTGCATCAGAGTGCCTTCAATTGGAAAGAGCACAACATATTATAGATGGGCCGCCATGAAGAAGTTTGGTATATTTTGGTGAGGTTTCCCTCTTATGCAGAAACCAAAAGATAATGTTGCATCCTGATTTGCGATGGGAAACTATTCAAGGTCCCTGAACCTCCCTGAATTGGTTTTTGAGGTCGGAATCAGATCCATTCTCTCCCAAATGTATATGTTTCATTTCTTCATAGTACGTTGCTTTCACCATTTTTCCGCTTGGCGCTCAGTGAGCTATAGCTTGGAAAAGCCTTTTTGGGGAGGGGGGGATGGACTCTATAGACACCCTCCTTTGGTTTGCGACGGTGACTCTCTCCGTTGCTCACCGTCCCGCCCCAGGCGCGGAGGCGGATGGCGCAGAGCAAAGCCTTCGGCGTCCCGACGCATACATCCAGTGTCCGCTCGGTGGAGGACAGGCCGAACCGAATGACCTCAGAGGCTCGAATTTCCGAGTCCGGCGGGGGTCCGCGGGGGGGGGGAGGCGGGGTTTGTTGGGTCACGGAACAGCGGTGAGGTAGAGGATTGTGGAGGTGACGCCACTTGGAATGGTTTGCAGATCAACCATCCAAATGGAAGATGGCATAAGGGATGTGCCCACACGCTTAATGCATGCAAGTCTCCCGACGAGCGTTCCTGCTGTTTTCCAACCACTGGTAGGCAAAGTGGTGCCTAAGCACCTTTTTGCATGCACAATCTATAGTCAGTGCAAGGGAGTTGATTTCTGGATCGTATCTAATACTAGAAGTATCCAGGGCCGAAGTGGAATAATACTCCTTAGCCTCCAGATGTTCAAGTTATTTTTCCAGACTTTTCCTCATTGCACACTAAACATGGAGTGTCCAACACTTTCCAAGCTTATTAGGTATGATTGTGCGTGACATGGTTGACACTATCATGGTACTTCCGCGTGTCACTATCATATATAGTCATAGTACAAAAATTGGAACTCCGCCGCTGTGGAGTGGCTCGTACTCGCCATCCGCCAGGGCAGTGTGACCGGGGTCTCCGCCACCGGAGCGAGCGGAGCCAGCGGCGTCAGCGGAGCCTCGGGTTCCTATTACTCGGAGGTCTCCTCCGCTTTCCTTCGGTGAGGCCAGGTGCTGCTTGAGAGTGGGCTGTTGGAGAGGCAACAAAAGCTGGGGTAGGCTGGGAGCAGGATGGCGGAGGTTTGTTATTGGTGGGTCTCGGATTGGGGACTGGGGGTCTGCGGAAGCTATGGATCAACTTGCCTTTTTGGTTGAAGTCGCGAACTGGTGAGTAGTCGAAGATGAGGATGGTAGTGGTGACATGTTGTTTTTTTTTGATATTAGTGGTGCTTGTTTGAAGAAGTTGGAACGTGCAACGTGGGTATTCAAGTTCAGCCGTGTGCTCAAGGCGTCCGGTGCGTAGGTGAACCATTTAGGATCATTTACCGTGGTGTCAGAGTAGATGGCACAGTACCCAAAAGGTGGTTTATATGGGCCCCCCATCTAAAGGACATTTTGTGCCATCTACTCTGAAACCACTGTAGGTGACTGTTCAATCAGGTCAGATCACCTTTGCCCCCATTCATATTAATGCTGTTTTGACCACGTTGCGCAGATACTGAGATTCTTTGCGCCGGCTTATGACCCTGATGCGACATTGACTGCTGCTGCGCAAAGGGCTGCACTTCAGCATTGAGGGCTGGGGGTCCTGTGTCAGTGTCAGGATACCGTTTCAGGAGCAGAAGTGTCGAGGCACACAACAAGACGCTCAGTTGAGTTGCGATGAACGCCCGACATTTCTGAATGCAGATCTCCGCAAAACGCGGGTGCTTTGTTTTGAAACTTTGAGACGTAGGAAAGGGCTTTCAGTAACTGCTTCGGGGCATGGATGCCCGGCATAGATGTCAACGTCAAAACTCGTGGATTTGACGGGCTGTGACTGATCCCTGCTTTCGTATTGAACGTGGATTCTGGGTCACCGAAGTAAAGCGATTTGCTTGGGTTCGCTGGTCATTGGAAAGCCGCGTTGCACACTGAAAGTCAGTAGAGTAGCGGCCAGAGGAAATGCTCAGCGTCGGCTGTCCCAAGATGAAGAAGTGGCAGAAGTGGCTATACAACAGTTACTGTAGAAGCAGCAAGTTGAACATCCCTGTCGTCATTATATAACACTTACTGTAATGATACCATGTGTTTCCATTTGTAGGGAGCTTTCTTGAAGGTCCAGTCCGTCCGCTGGCGGCTGCAGAATCGAATCAAGTCTCAGGGCTGCTGAGTGTTCGCTCCGGAGATGCCTTTTTTGAAGCCTGTTGTTGGCGGTTTTCACCCAAGCATGCCAGAACCACTCCCAAGCAAGATTCATTGCCGATACCAACGCCACAAGCTGAAGCCAAATTGCTGGCTGCAGGCTTCCCAGTCGCATGAAAGCAGTCATCTAATGGAATAGTTTGTGACTTGTCTCAAGGCGTGCAGACCGCTGGGCCGCTGGGCTTTTCCATCCTCGCCGAGAAAAGGTCTCACCAAGATGAAAGGTGTTTGCTTCGTCTTTGTAATCAGGGGGTGGCCAAATTCGTTTGTGAGCATTCCAAGAATAAGCAGAGAGCTGTTGTTTTGTGGATCACCTCCACATGTTGCAGGTTTCCTTTCAGCCCGGCAAGCCGGCTGAACAGCCGCAGCACGGGCGGACCTTGGCCGTGTTTGGTTGGCAACACATTTCGGCAAGCTTGCGATGAAGAGGGTCGCAATGTGAAAAAGGTGGATGGGAGTGGAGTCTTGGGAATAAGATGCTTTGTCGTTGATGATGAGGGGAATGCTTTGCACAAAATGTGTCTCCTTATATGCTTGACAATTGTTATATATAGGTGGGGATGTGGTCACCATTCGGTCCTTGAATTTGGTGGATGGTTGTGAGACTGAAAGGGAAGACCGTGCCATTGTATGAAGCTGACACCGCAAGACAACATGTTTATATACTGTTTTCCTGCCTGTTTTCCTGGCTCTCATCACTCAAACATCTCGAACATTTTATCAATCAAATAGATTGACGATGCATGCAATACCCGTGCCAAATGGCACGTTTAACATAGACGCCCACCACACGAGTGATCCGGTCGCCGGATCTGGTGAAATGCTTTCGGGTATTGAGCTGGTGAACATGTCGCTGCACTTGTATGAATCGTTGGCAGCATGGGAAAGCGTGGTAAGCTTTTGGACCATGACCAAGCACTTGGTGCACACTGGGGGCCAGAACCAGATGGCCAGATGGTTGGGTGTCAGCTTCTTTTTTCTTGGCAAAAGTTGTGCACGGACTTAGCTGAACACAACTTCTTTTTGCCTCAGAGCTGGGTTCTTAAATCATCCTAAATCAAGTCCATGCTGTTCCCAGCAAGAGTCAGCATGCATTTTACGATAATTTATATACATATGACTCATATGACATCACTATATGCGTAACCGATGTGATGCTACCATAAGCATTTGTAGCAAATCACCTGCCCCTTTTGCTGCAGAGTCCTGTCAGGTGTCCCTTATGGGCTCGGCGGTCAGTGAACCTAGTGGGAAGCCTCAGTTTCCACATGGCGACCATGCCGACGCTGGCTAGCTAGGCCGCTACTCTTCAAGATCTCCAGACGAAAAGGCTGCTAGGAAAGTTGACAGTAAGCCCGGATGAGTCATGTTGAGTCTCCCTATTCTGCACGTGCATGTAGGTGTCACAGATTTTTCAATCCGCTTTGGGCTGGTGGTCTACCAGTGGAACAGGTTGCCATTTTGGCAGCTTGCAAGCTGGCCCAACTTGTTGTTTCGTTTTTCTTCGGAGGGCAACTATCAGGTCCTGCACCCAAATCGGATGTGCTCAGTTCGACCATCCGAACTGGAGCCTCATAATCCACAGGCATTTGGAGCAGAGCAGGCCACAGGTACCACGAAGAAGGCTGTTTGTGAATGGAGCCTTCGTGAAGTGTGAAAATGCCTTGTCAGTGGCCGCCACACAACAAAAACGTATAACTGTTGGGACCTTTTTGGGGGAATTGGTTGTCCCAAAGTTGAACAAGTGGACTAATTTGTTCTACATCAATGGAGGCATAGCTCACTGAGACATACTGCGACAGAGATGCTCAGGTGTCGTGCTTGATGACTCCGGCACTGTGAAGCGCTCAGGGTTTTTCCTTGTTCTGCCTTTAAGGACTAGTGAGCCAGCAACATGAGAATCAGAAGTTCCACTTGTTGCCTAGTTACCTGAGAGCGTGAGCAATTGAAAGGATTTGGACTGCAGATGAAGCATTGTTGGGCTCTTTTCCTAGATTGCCTAAGATCTTAAGATATACAAAAGGTTGATATTTCACACCAGACCCTAGAAGAGATGCTTTCTGAAGTTGGCTTCCCTACCGAGGCGAAGAAAAACTTCGGTGACGATTCGGAAACAGATCATCGGTCGACCTGTTCTCATTCAGATTCAACTGCCTATCATAGCTGTGGGCTTTTGGTTTTGCTCTTTTCCTCGTAGATGCTTGCGGAGTCCACCTGCTCAGCAGGCATTGGACAACGCGTGGAAGAGGGAGATCCCTGAACCGCCCCGAGTGCCGGATCAAATTGGTACACATTCTGTTTATTCAAAGGGCATCTTTGATACTCACTGATTTGGCAATGTCATCCCAACAAGTCTACAACAAAGACAGCATCAACAAGAACGCCAAGCAAGTCCCCAAGCATATTATAGAATAACTTGTGATCACAAAAAAAACTGGCCGAATGAATTTTAATCCCCCCAAAGTATCTATTTGCACTCCAGGCAGTTGTATAAAGTGAAACATCGACAACATGATACTAAATCGATCCATCATCCCATTGAGCCAACTCCAATGCACACCCCAAACCGGTCTTTCTATGTCTTTCTGACGCTTTGTATGCACACCGTTGGTCTCCCAAGGCGACCAAGCAGTTGGAAAGGTGGGACCGGATTCGACGACGGATCGAAGGGATCCCTGACCTTCGAAGGGTGGATTTTCATCAGCCGCCCCGGCTACAATCCATGGGGCAGTGGCTAAGATCATTGATCATGACATTTAGATGGAATTGACCCATGATCCATCAATTGATCAATTGACATAATTGACCAAAATGATCAATGATGTGTTTTCTTCGTTTTCATTGATCAAAACATCATGCAATTCTTGGGTGGTTCACTTTTTCGATCCGACCGTGTCGAACCGACCAGCTTCGCTTCCTCGAACGACATCGGGGCGCCATCCGACCAGTTGGCCCTATACTTGAACAATTGAACAATGCCCATCAAGCCTAGTAGGCAGGTTGGGGCCGGCCTTCACATGTTCAAGTTCCATTTGCGCATTTGGTTCGGTGGTGTGTAGGTCTGTGAACCCCCCCATGCTTTAAGAACTGCTTAACCTAGGCAGAAGGTTCAATACATGTTTACCCCAACTGCCTAGCACATCATCCTGGTCCTTTTGGTCCGGTCATCAGTGCTCTCGTTTCGATCGATCCACGCGGCCTCCACGGCTCGGTCGGAGACGGGGAGCCATCTCGGTCGGTCTGCTTCTTGAGCGCTCGCCGGGGCAAGCTCATGGAGCAGGAAGGGGGCCTGATGGAACGGAGTGAGCGGAGTTGGTGCAAAGACTGCCGAATCGGAGCCAAGAAGTTCTTTAACCGGATCTTTAGATGCTTGGCATGGCTGACATGGGATGAAGCACAGCACACATCAGTACACTGAATCGCCGAATAGCTCGACTCACCGTGAGATTTTCAGGTGGATGAGCCCCGTGTTGATTGAGGTTTGAATTGCCATGGGGCATTGGCTCATCGAAGTCTTTGAGTAGTGCTTGAACGGCTCATATAGTAAGTCTCAATTGGTGAACGCTGAAAGATTGGTCCGAGAGCAGGTTGACAATGCTGACAAGCCAGGCAGTCAGAGATGCAAGAAAAGACCTCTTTGCTTTTCGACCACCTGTTACTTGCATGGTTGTTCTCCCTCTTAAGGTCTCGAGGTGGTCCACTTGACTGTCACAAAATTGCTGAGGATATCGAGGCTCAGTGCTTCCCCTAGGAGCTCTGTTTGCATTGCCCAGTACCTTGCTCACGGCTATCCTGCACATCACCTGGAATCCTGACCTCAAGGGCGCCGACAACAACGAGGTCGGTCGCTTCGGCCTCTTGGAGTGAAGGGGTCGCCGTCTCGACGTCGCCGAGACGGCTTCGACGAGCATGGAGTGAAGAGGCCTCTTCGTAGGCCGACAATGCCTACAAAGCACATAAGTCTTTTATATATATAGAGAGAGAGGCAGATTAGAGAACCCAAACACTTTCAGAACAGGAAAGCAAGGTGATTGTCAAACAGGTTTGCTTTGCACCAATTATATGCGCCATTGATCACCAGTGTAAAGATGCAGAGATTGGACGAAAGGAAACACCAAATACCTCCAAAATGCCTGGATAGGTGGTCAAAACGGTATAAGCCTTAAGCACTATCGATGTCCGGTACAATTTCTATTGAGCAAGGTTGTGTGTATGTCCCAGTCTCACCAACAGCGGGTAAAGATTCACTATAGGAACAATGGCAGCCAGGCCCACATCCAAGAAATCCATCCATCCGAAGCCTTGCTGCCGAGCAAAGATCCGTTCGTTGGACCCCGAACGGATACCATTCATCTCATCAGTTCCTTCGCTCATGGCCGACGCCAACGACGCCATGAGCGACGCGATTGCGCCTCCATGTTTTGCGCAGCGTGTGCAACCACATGTTAACAGACACATGTTGACGAAGCGTTTGTCCCACCCAATTCGCATGCACCATCACCTATAAGGCACTTGCTGCAGTGCACACAAGATTTGCATGGTGGTGGTTTCAACAACCATAGCAGATTACTGTAGGTGTACCAATCTTCCTCTCCGGTTGCTTTTGCGCTGAGACTGTCATGAAAGGTTCGCAGAACCGACGCAGAAGAACCAAGACGACTATGTGAAGCTATATGCTATATACAGTATATATATATATATTTAAAATATATATATATATACAGTCATAGGACAGAACACGTAAAACATTCCGTCGCGGAGCCTTGACTTCTCTTGCAAACGTCTTTGCCCTGTGCTGCACAGCGTCCAAAAGCAGCGCCAGCCAGAACAAAGGCTACCCCATCAGAACGATGGGAATGGCATGAAATGGCCAAGATAGGACCATGGTGTACTTTTGATGAACACCTTTGCCACATACACCTTGCACTGCCATGCATAAGCCTTTCCTGCAACGTGTGGCCAAACAAAAGTAAATGTTTACTGTAAACATTGGGGGGGGCCCGGTACCTTTGCATTTGTGGGCATTGATACGACAGAACTCCACAAACATTTGGATACAGTTCACGATTGTTCACGTAAATCGTGGACACAAAGCCGCGGTCCATTTGACGGATTCTTGGAAGGACGGGCCGCAGCGTGCAGCTGCGGCCCTGTGAGGTTTGACCTTTCACAGGTGAATCATGAGGTGACCGACTTCACCGGGCCCAAAAGATTTGACTTCTCAGCAGGGCAACATGATCAACAAAAGATGATAATGCGTCAGGGGGTCATGTTGTCACCGTGATGGATGTGCATTGCCATTTATATCACCACTTCTTTTCTCGTGGCACAGATTCATAAGAATCAGCGACTGACAATGGCCACACAATAACACTGGCGATGCTTGGTGGTGGTGAAGAAACACCAGATGAAGAAGGCTAGGGCCTTCTTGTGATGGAGTCTTCTTTCAGGTGATGTTTGGACAGCCTACACCTTCTCGCTGGGCTTCTTAGCACCATGGCGGAGAAAAAGAAAAACACATATGGGGGAACCCGAAAGTGGTGGAAGGTGTTTTAAATGTTCGCAACATAATATGTCGTCGTGGTGTATGAATCGCAGGACATGTCCTAAGTGTTTTCCCACCTGTCAGCTGAGGGTTGTTGGATGTTTGAAGATACTCTTCTCCTCCTTCGCTCCTGAAAAGACAAACAGTTTTCTCCTCCCATTCCTCCGTAGAGTCTGAAGATACGAATTGGGTCTCCAAGTGCGCCGGGGCCACTGCAGGACCTGTTGATTTTGGTTAAAGGGCCGTCACTGAGCCAGACTGTTTGATGTGTTTTGATGTGGGAAACAGCCATGTTCGAGCCTTTCTGAGTGTTCCTGTCATGATTGTTTCAAAAAGGAGGTCAAACAGGACTGACCATGTCGCCAAAGATTGCCTAATTCCACAGACCAGAAGATCAGAAACATGCTTTCAAGCCGCAAGCTGGTCCAGGAGTCCTCAGTAGCCAATTAAATATTCTCAGACCATGACTTTGGGTGCAGGAAGGAACCAGATTCCAGATACTCAACGATTCAAGCTAGCTTGTGCTAAACAGTGCGGAGACCAATTTGTTCTCGCCCACAAACATGGGCGAACGCCCTAGGTGGTGTTTCGCAACAACCAGGCCTACAGCCGTCTCTTGGCCATGGTGTTCGATGGGTGTGTGTGCGTCCCCAGACTACCAGACCAAAAAAATAGACGTTTAATGACGTTTCTAAAACTGCGGCCCCCCCTTGACACATTCCTGCGAAACAAAGAAACATGAGTTTGAATATGTTCAGATATGATGACGATTAGCTGTGAAGAGATTTGTATAAAGAGATGTGAAGAGGTAGTATCAGAGAAGGGACTGGATTGTATGGTGTAGCGGTGCATGAGAATCAGAAACAGTAACTGAATACTAATGGGAACAATCATGCTAAAACCCGACAAAGCCGCCGTATAGACTCCAATTGGCGATGTGAATGGCAATAGCCACCTATGTTTTACTTCGCCACACTCGGTCGCCAATCCTTGTTTGGAGCACTGGGACTGGTCATGGGTCGATCTTTGCTTGCATCCGCCACCTGCCGTTCGCTGTGATCTCACCACTAACTCCTGAGTTTCATTCGGGCCTTTTTCAGGTCCAGTCCATTTGATCCTGTTCTTTTTTGCTTTCGGGTTTCCTCCCTTGGACAGATAGAAACCCGGCATCAGAAAAGCGGTTCAGAGGAAAAACACACTTAAACATTATATACCCCTGTAATCCCCTGTACACCTCTGGCTCAATTCCCCGCAAGCTATGCCCCAGCAGCGTCAGAAGGGCAGCCAGCCACAAACCGCGGTTCAGAAACATTCTGTCGGCCTCGCGCGCGGAATGAGGCTTCTGGGAAGGTGCCAGCAAGGTGCACGAGATCCGTGGCGAACTGTACAACTGTGCTTCGACATTGGTGGCTTTTTGCTCCAACAAGCAGGCACGGCTCTGCTCTGAGCTACTGGCTTTAGGCTTCTTATAGGCTTGAAGGTCCTATATGTTCCTATTGTGATGCCGCATGATGCCCAAACCAGGGAGATGCTCATGACGTTTGTATTTGTTTGCAGCTTTGAGTCGGAGTGTTGGACAGTCGTAACGTTTGTTTGTTTATATTACTGTTGACAGGCAGACACTGATATTTTAGGGGGGGACCTTTGACTAATCTAATTCTCACCTGTAAATGGGATGAACGCCACACCACGGCTGCCAGCCTTTTCCTGCGCAGAAAGCACGATATGTTTTGCATGTTGGGCCTTGGGAGGAGATGCAGGAGGAAGTCAGCAATTTCCAGCATTTCATGATACGCCTCATCAGCTTGCTCTTTGCCACGGCTATGAGACACTTGTCCAGAGTTAGCTGAACAGTTCAATAGAAGGACTTAAGGAACAATCCCACGACCGAAGCGAATCGGGTTCCAGACTCACCACGAAGTCTCTCCGTTGAGCTTAAAATAGCGTAAAGACCAACGGGCCTCATCAGAAAACCCCCATCGACAGACAGCGGCTTCTCAAGTGCTCACCTGCAGAAATGCTAGACGAGATTCTACTGGAAAGGCTGACTCACGGTTTCTTTGGCTGACTGGAACGAGCCCAAAGACCGACACCCCTGAGGATCTGGTGGGCCCTCCAACCGGACCAGGATCCGGATGTTTCAAGGGTATCGATGATCGATTCACAATCCGCTTCCTGACGTGTGCGCACTTCACCAGGTGAGATTTGCTATGACTCCGAAGATGAAGGAGAGGAGCCCGACAGGCGTCAAGATGTCATGCAGGCGCGGTTACTCGGATGCTACGCCGGCTACGCCCCACCGACGGAAGCAAGGTATTTTCATTGTTAGATGCATAGCTTTGGAAGGCAAGTCTCATAATCTATCTCCGTACACCGACTGAGTTTGTCTAAGAAGTTTGGAATATATAGTATACATATTGCACATAGAATATGGTACAATATCATAATATCATATAATATCTTGGTATACATATTATACATAATTTCATAAAATATCGCCGTGACTTTGCGCCTTGATTCCGTTCAAGTTACGCAGAACGTGTCCGATGGGACGACACCGAAGCGTTCGATCAAGCGTTCGTCAACTGCATGCTTTTGCATGGAGACTTGATGGAACCTCCAGCTGGTCATGCAATGCTGATGAAATTGAATGACATTGATATTTTTTGATATTAACCCACCCATTTGGATTGCATGTTTTATGTTTGAAGGTTTGATCAATCAAGAGTCTAAGTCTAAATGACTTATTCATAGGACTTCAGGGAGAGTGGATGGCTACGGCAGCGCTGCAGCTGCCGTGACCGACGACGTGACCAGGTGATTGACCTGGATGGCATCGATGAAAGCAGCCACCTGGTGGAGCTGTTGGGCGCACCTGGTGGAGCCAACCTTTCGTGGAATGTGAACCTGGATGGTGAACCTGGATGGTTATGCCAGATCAGATGGTTTCCTCCTGGCTTTTTGTGCTCATTTTCCCAGATGATATGTATTTCATATCCATGCATTCTTTGAAGTAAAGTCAGTGTAGACAAATGGCTTGTGACACTGTAGACATCAACTGACATCAAGGGCCTGCGGAAACTCTTGGTTGGCCCAAGCCGAGCCACAACAGACCAAGTACTGAACTGTGCACCAACTTGATGCTTTTGGAATCCTTTGGGCGGGGACCCTGCTCATTTGGAGAACCAACCGCAGGGGTGATCGTGCACATGCAGCATATATAGATCGCTTGTGATCGCTTGTGTATGGGGTTGAAGCTGGGAGACCGGTTTGACCACCGGAAGACCACTGCTTCCTGTGTCGCCCCCACACCGACCCCAACAAGCAACCGAGCTGGTCGGGTGTGCGTGTGAGTGTACAAAGAGAAATATGGCACGAAATGGAGCCGGGAGACCTTAGCAGAGACAAGTTGTCAGCGTGTTTGTGCAAGTACGACCTGTGATGTGATGTGTCGGCATGTTAATTTTGTCTCTAACATGAATGCACTGGACTATCAAAAGAGGTTCACCTACCATGGCTTTGGGCTTTGAGGTTTGGGATTTGGAACCCTCCATGGTGGGTGGGCAAGGGCCTACTCATTCACGCAAATTAGAGGGCCGGAAAAAGGGATCCTCGAGCCCTCAAGTAATTTGGACTCCGTTTGTCATGGTCACATGAGCTTGTTCTTGGAGCTGCAATAAACAGAAGGAAGGGTAGGTGAAACAAACAACCGCGATGTATCACCACCAGGACATTTGGGGGAATCTATTTCAACGGCACTTGTTTTTGTCCTTGCATATCCTTGCTTGCACTTGCCAAGCATTCCAACCCTTGCGAAGGTACGCCGTTTTCAGAGGCTGTTTGTGTTGTATGTGTTCTTTTTGTGGCCCAGGTCTTCGACATTTACAAGATGCAGACAATTTCAACAAGACACCAAAGAGAGCCTCCACAACGAATGCAAAGGAAGCTCCTCGCAAGAAGGGATGCTCCCGGTGCGAAGTCATTGCATCTTGGCCGTAAAGAAGTTTTGGATGGCCGTCGGTGTATCCTGTTGTCATCTATGCATGGTAGGGCGTGTCCCATTAACCAGTACCAGTAGTAGACGGAAAAATATGTCGCTATTTTTTTGGAAAGGCCTTTTAAGATCATCGTCATAAACCGTTACTGGTAATGGGATATACCAATGATTTGAACTTCAAAGCGTTGGTAGCCAACGCCTGCCAACGCCTGCGAAGATGGTTTTCTAATCCGGCGTTTTGTTGATAAATACAGATAATATAGGGGGATATGACCCCCAAGTGAACAACCAATAGTATGATACCAAATCGATCCAAATCGACCTATCTACTATTCCCAGGCAACCCGTTCTGCCACAGGTCTTCGTGATTTTGGCACCTGTTTTGCACACCTCACAAGAAGGCAGAAGGCCTCCGTCACTCGCCAACGGGCGGCTCGTCACACGTTGCAGATGCAATGGATCACAAAGCTGATGATCAATAATCTGTATGCAGATAAAACGAATGAACAGAGCCCTGGCTGGGCAGCGCGGGCAGGGGCGTTTCGATGCGCCATGTTCGATGATGGGTTCCTCAGATAATACTTTTTAAGGCCATGTAGGTACTGCGCCGTCCTGGTACTGAGGGGAGGTACGTCTACCACAAACTGCATATCCTTCCTACTGTGTATGAATTGTGCCCCTTTTCAACCTTTGTTGTGTTTTTTTTAGGCTGTGACGTTTATCCCCAGCCAGAAGCCAATATAATGGTTTGTGCATCTAGGATCATCTAGGATCGTTTGTGCATCTAGGATCCTTTTACATAGCTCATTCATGGTACTATGGATATGCTTAATAATTGGCTAGCCTCAGGCCAAAAAGCCCTAACATATTGTATTCTAAAATGATGTCCTTTTAAGCAAGTGTTATTGATTTGCCAAAGCCATGCCATATACTGTAATAGACCTAAATTCCCGTATTAAGGACGCTTGGGAACATGTGCTCATTACTTGAGAAGAATTGGTAACATTGAAAGGAATGCGGGCATAGACTTTGCCACCAAACCGTGAGATTTTTGATGGTTGAACCTCACGAGATCTTGAATGATTCTCTTCACAATACATCTCTGACACAAAACATCGCCGACCTCAGGGGAGTGCTGAAGATTCCACCGCCCATTCTCAATCGATCGCTCACGGACCTCTCCAATGCCATTGTGGACATCTACCGCGTGCGCAAGATACGCGAGGCGCCGGTGGAGTCCGAAGGGACTGGTGACTGGAGTCCGAAGGGACTGCAGCGCTCAAGAGACTTATAGAGGTTCTGAATTGTAGCTGTAAAGGTTCCTAATAGCTTCTTGTTACTACTAGTAAGGCACTTGTTACTAGTAGCGTGGCACTTGTTTCTAATAGCTTCTTGTTCCTAATAGCTTCTTGGTACTAGTAGTAAGGCACTTGTTACTAGAAGCGATGCACTTGTTCCTAGTAGCTTCTAATTGTAGCTGTAAAGGATATATAGATGGATGTACAGTGTCCTTCATTTGATCTCCTTTGCTCCAACTACAATCCAGGCAGAGGTAACCGCGTTGCACCGAGCACTTTTCTTTAGTTCGTATCTATCTAACCTGGCTGAAAGTGTCCTAACACGTATGACCTGCCCGTCCAATCATGAAGGGCCATACAAAACTTAAAACACTTGTGTTCACAGATGCTCCCAGAGCCTCATTTTATCAGCCTCCCTGCTCCACATGACTGCGTACCGAGCCCGACTTTGACTGACATCTACGCAGGCTTAAGCTGTCAATTAGCTGCTATAGCTGCTCACTACTTCTCAAACATTCAAACATGAGTTTGAGAACTTCCTCAGGATTCTGTGAGGCGCCAAAGCCGCTCACTAGAACCAAAGCGAAATGCCTCCCTGAGCTATTTCCAAATACCATTCGAAAATGCTATCCCGCTGCTACCCCTTTTCAGCGACCCTATGATTGAAGGAACTGTGTCCTTAGACATTTCATCCATCCGCCAGGTGCCATTTCCCTTTCCATACTCGCAGATGGTTATCCTTATGTTGACCGTTTACACTTTGGTGACGCCCGTACCCTTGGATTGCATTTATATATGCCACAGTCGGCAGCGTCACAGACTCATGTTTTCCCCGCAAGGGCTCCTTTGGTGGGGACATGTAGAGACCCCATCAACAGTCCCCAAACACATACCCTATATGTGTGTTTGTACATTTTAACTTGGGGACATGCTTGCATTTGTTGTGAAAGTTTAAGCAAACGTGACGAAGGTCCTCAGCAGTCAACTCATCGAGAACATTTACATGGCGACCATGGCCACCTTCTGTGTGACGACGGCCTTCTGGTCCCTGTATCATATTGCTGATGAGTCTCAGATTTCTGGAAGTTTGTTTTTCTTTTTTTTTTGTGGGGGGTGTTGTTGCTGCGACAAGCAGGATGATGTGTGTATGTGTGTGTGTGTGCGTCACCCCCTGTACCAAAGGGTTCAATGCCACTGTTTCCACCACCACTACTCCATAAGGCAGGGGGACCAGGCATCTCGCTGCTGACCTGGTCTAACAAAGCTAGGCAGCGAGATGGGAAGCACCAAAGGACGCTTTGGTGTGTACCTGCCACACAACTTTTGCACAAGCTGTCCACCCTATTTTTGCACGGTTTGATTCATGGTTCTTTCACGTTTCTTACCCCATAAACAGGCTTTCCCACAGCCGCCTTTCAGCTGCCGTCCGCCGCTCGTCCGCTGCTGTCGCCAGTCTGCAGATGCGCACAAACCTTTTGTTGAAAACACCTTCAATTTGATCGGACTCTTCACCTTGCCGTTGAGCCATTCCTTTTCTCGGGAAACTGAGTTAACTGAAAACCATTGTCAGAGTGTGTTCGTCGGTCGTCGCTTGGTTGATTATGTAGAACCCGTGGATGTGTAGATTCTGGATGCTATAAAACAGGTAGCTCCTTTTGGATCTTCTTGGGCAATTTGTATATGCAGCATATACCGCGCCACTCCGGAATGCCCGGATGTTTTCGGCTAACTGCCGGTGCTCCGAAGAAATTCACAGTGCCAGGAGTCTATGTTGTTCGGATCTGGTTCGATCTGTAAAGCTGCGCCTTCCCCTTTTGGCAGCCCGGATTGGTTCCACCCGCTCGCTTCAAACAAGAAGTCCTGTGGTGCCCAGGAGATCGATCAGCCCTTCGGGACGGATCCCAATGATTTGCCCATGTCGCTCAGCCGAATCAGAACATCGCTCAACGCTCACCGCGTCGCGTCGCGACGACGATTCGTCGCGCGTTGGAGGACGCCATGGATAACCTTGGTCTACTGCTCGGGGCATCTCCAAGAGCAACAACAACAAACAACACAAAATATTTGTTCATGTCCAGTTTGCACCTGCCTAGGTTATTGAATGGGCGATGTATAGGCATGTGATTGAACATCGCAGCATTTGCGGCTGCAAAGCCCTGAAGAGTCCCAAGGGGGACGAAAGCTAGGCATTTAATATCTTGCTGCAGTCGTAGAAAAGCTGCGTTGGGCTTGAGCGACCTGTTCTAAAGTTGTTCAATCAGCTATTAGGAGCTATGGTTTTTATGAGTTACTGCGGTGTTTGTGGCGAACCCGATCAGGATCAACAACATGCTCACATGTTTGAAGTATGACAGCACTGCAAAGTTCAGAGCCCATGGCCCATGGCACAATACACCATTTTGTTAGGGATTTCTGTCCAACAGTCGTTTTGAATGTGGGCAATCTACTCTTGAACATGGCAAAGACATTATATATATATAACTATATAATGTATTCAGTTCTTTGTGGGTTGTGGTTTTATGGTCCTGTTTTTTTGGCGAGCCATCGTTGTCAGATACAGGCGACGCCGATGAAATCGGATGAAACGGAACCGAGGAAAGAAATCCAGGAGGACTTTAACAACTCCTTGCGGCTTGGTGTTTCTACTGCCCGAGGTTGCCAGCAGTGTCGGATTTGACATGCCTTTGGTATACAGTACTTGCCGGCACTTGCCCGGCTAGGTATGACTGGACCCTCACTTGGCCGACATAGAAGGGGTGTCTCCAATGACCCTCTCAGAGGGCATGTGGATCCATAGGGGCGACAGGTGTTGGCTGAATTGCTAATGAGCCGATTGAAGATCTGCAATCTACGGGCTTGTGTCTTGCAAATTAGCTCATCCTGTGGAACAGTGGATTTGTCGAGCAGTTGCTGGGTTACACATAGGCAGTTGGCAGCAGATAAGAGTTGTTCTGTGCATACAGTGAGAGACCTCAAAAACGGGAAACAGTTGGCGCCAAGGCTTTTCCTCATGGAGGAGAAGACGCAAATGGTTCCGAAATTTACTCGTTGGAAAAGAGTGACCTTGACTGCTTTCAGCGGACCCGGTGTTGGGAAACTCCAAGAGGCTTAGCAGACAGGTCTGCACTGTGGCCAGGTCCCTTTAAAATGGTTTGAGATCCCGGGAGTTGCAAAGCCTCCCCATAGTGTAAAATATGTAATAAAATATGATATATATATATATTAATTATATGTGCTCCCATTTTTATAAAAGTCTTATAACAGGTGGTACTTTGATTCAATTCTGTCCAAGAACGTCTAAGCGCACCTTTTTCTAGGTCAAGTTGTTGACATATTCCTCTAACACAGGTTACAAGTTCGACCAAAAACAAACACATGTTCATACTTCATTGATTCGATTACATCCTTTTCTACCCAAAGGAGCCCATTCCCTTTATATAAGAAAACTCACAAGGCAAACTCACTTGTATACACTTTGGATAGTAGTGTAACAGCAAAAGCACTCACTTCGAACTTCAACCTTCAGGAATGATTGGCACTTGAAGTGCCAGTGTGAGACATGTGTTTATGTGCTTATGTGTACTGTATATTTCTTGTATGTACTGTACATACAAATGGTTCCCCTTTTGATCCTTTTTCCACCTGTAGAGCATCCAGTCAAAACTTTTTGGAGAATTCTTGGGCTATTTAAAGCTGAGGGAACTTTAAAGTCTTACAGGTTTGAGAGTTCCTTGAGAGTTTGCTAAAGTCCAACTTCTGTGTTCCTAGCACAGCAGAGTTTGCTAAAGCTGCCTCACATCAATATGTTGCCTAATTGCAAACATGTTTGTAATGCACCTGTTGCGCCAGCAGGTGCTCAGGAGTCCCTGTTTCAGGTCAAGACTCCTTTTTGCCGTTTAAGAAGTTCTTAGCCAAGAACTAGAAACAGAAGGATTTGGCTGCGGAATCTTTTTTGTTTCAGCTAGAAGGTTAGAAGAGGAAACAGTCCTGACATTTTGCAGCCCACTGAAAGGTTTGTGTTTGCGAATTGCCTTCGACCAAACTCTTTCGTGCTGGTTTTGGGAACCATGCACTAACCAAAAACAGCAACAGGGCTTGTCACGTGCCAAAGCATGGCTGCGATACCATGGCTGCCAAACCAATTCCAACCAAACATGTGCGTTCAACACAGATAATTACTGGAACATGTGTATAGTGTATATATATACTTATCACTCTCCAGTGAGTGATGATGTCAGGCTCTTGTGCTTCTACTCTCCTACGATGTGCCAAGGCTACAGCAAGAGTACTTATCCGTTTAGGATTGCATATAGTATCAAATATATTTATTGTTTTGACACTAGGCTAGGTTCGGAGGTTTGCTGTTGCTGTGTTTGCAAAAGGCGGGTATGATGGAAGGCCGTTTATAGTGGAGATGCATCCAGCATATACACACATAAACATATATACTGTATATTTATATAGGTATACACAGTGTACACACATGTGTATATACATATGCATACAGTATATATGTATAATATACACCGCGGAGGGCGGACATGCAAAGCACCAAGCCAAGCCACCTGGTTCAGGGTACCGTAGCTTCACAAGCAGGCCCATTGACTCCACCATGCTACTGCTGAGGACATGAGAATCACACATGTGGTCAAGCATGACCACTCCAGCTGCCACGCCACTTGGTGTTCCGAGTTAATACCTGAACACCTTTCAAATCGAAAGAACATGTCCCCGGAAGGGGTCATCGTTTGCTTCCATGTTTGTTAGAAAAGATCCAACCAGACTGGTTTTGTTGGGGGTTTGTATGGGCTGGTCCTGACCTCCTGTTGAGATGTGTGCCGTTATGGGTTTGTGGAGCCACGCCCAGCTTGTCTCCGCATGTACGTAGAGCAGATTTGCAACTTTCTTGACGATGAACATATGAGCATGCTCAAAGGATGTTTTAGTGACTTAGTGGACATTTTCTTATTTATCAGGTGAGGATCTCTTAGATTGTATGTCAGACTTCCTGTTCTCTCCTCCTCATCATCATCCTCCTTTTCTCCTCCACTTCTTCTTTGCGGGTCTCCCATGTCACGCTAGACTTCACGTCGCTGTGTCGCTTGACCTCACGGGCCTTGCAAAACTCCACATCGCTCTCGACTTCATAGACAACCAAGATGTATGTCAAAACAAGAAAGACGTGATGTCACTAGGTCATTAGTCCTTCCATTTTCCCAATCACCTGTTGCGGTGGCAGGGTTGTTCGAAATACAATTGATGATCATTGTTTTTTTTGCACATGTTTGGTCTCAGATTTGAGTGTGCTGGTGTTTCACTTTGTTTACTACGTGCATTGAAGGTACAACCATCGTTTCCTTCCGGGGTAGCTGGGCAGATCCGCTGTTGGATCCAAGTTTGTATTCCACTGCTTCTTGACCAAATTTGTTGTCATCAACTATCAGGTTGGCAGCCCAGCTGTTGCGGCACTTCCACCCACCAAGATTGGCATCGATCGGCCAGCGGAAGCTGTGAACGAAGCGGAAGCAGCGGCATTCGCATCGCAGCCCAGCGGGCTGACCCGGAAGCCGAAGGCAGGAAAAGAACCACAAGTGGGTTGGAACAACTTGACACATATACTATAATTACTATATCGTAATATAATGTCATATATATATATATATACACGATTTTTTGGATTTGTATATTAGATGTTGTTGAATTGTGCTGTTCTGCAAGTGCCGTTTGAGACACAAATGGGCACGGCAGCCATCTCAATGTCTGGAACCACGTGTTTCTTGCGAAAGCAGCGAGGTGAGGAGGCAGCGCAGGGTCAAGTCGCAAAGTGAGACAGAAGCAGAGGCAGGAAGCTGTGTGAGGCCTGTGAGGCAGACATCGCTGATCCAAGGGCTTGCCATTGGGATGAATCCACCACGGAGGCATCAGGCATCATGAAAAAAGGCCAATGGCTTGCCATTGGGGATGGGTGATGTCACCTTTTCAACCAGATTGTTTCCCACGTTCTGCAGCAAGATGGGTGGGCTTTTGATAGGAATTCCGAATTCCTGGAAAATTAGGCCCAGTGGACATCCCGCATTCCTCCAACCAGGCCCAAGCGACATGGGATGCTGCGTCCAGTGCAGCGGTGGTGGCCATCGAAGAAGTCCAGGCGATGTTTGAACATGTGAAGTGGATGGGCCGTGCCGCATTTCCACCTATTTGGAGCCCATTAAACATAATTCAGCCACATACAGCACAGGGCTGTGCAAGTGGCTGTGGGGAAAAATTTTCTTGGCGGGGGTCGGGCACCTGGGAGGTCTCCCTAGTCCAATCAATACAACCCTCACTGGCATCGTCCAGGATGATGATGGTGAATGCAAACCTGACAATGATCATGGAGGCATGTCCAGGGACTAAACTCAACTACAACTACCCCATACTACTTACTGCTCATTGATGTTCATTGCGGCTTTCTTGAAAATGTGTTTTCAGAAGTTTCGGACATTTCTTTTCCCGAGAATATAACTTCCTCCAGGAATCCCAAAATCCCAACTTGTGGACCTTCTTCGTTCGCTCCTGGTCGTTTCCTGCGTCATCCCTTCGCTCCTCATCGCATTGCTCACTTGACCGCGCTCCGTCGAGCAGATGTCCGACGAGTCGGAGCGATTCGTGGAGGAGCAAGCTGCGAAATCGGGCTTGGAGGAGCAACAGTCCGTTGAAGAGAAACTCGGTGATGGAAAGGGATGGAAAGGGGAAAGGGCATGGGCGGCATGGGCGCCCTATCGAATTGGATGGATTGGAATCGCTATTTTCATGGAACGAGAGAAAGTGCTGAACGGTGAGTGGGTTGGTTGATTCGCTTTCCAAGAGCTTTAGTCAGTCTTGGAGATCGCCATATTTGAGCCATAGTCAGGCGGCTGAGGTGTTCTCATCGAAATGACTTGACATGGGCTTTTGAGTTGACAAACTTCATAAATCATATAATTTGTATTGTATGTCGAGTCATGTCTTTTTTTCGTGAAACGTCGGTTCGCAGGGATTGCAGTTGAATGGGCCGATGTGTTTTTGATCAGGTGCATATGCATTACAGAGAAACGATGTGTTTTTCAATCTCCACCACCCAAAACACACAGTATTGTTACGTAGAAGACCTTAGAGTTGCTGTTGAAGAACAGCTTGAAGCTTGAAGCATGTAAAAAATCAATCCTGAAGCAAAACAAAGAAGGTTCTCAAAATGCATCTTATGAATTTATCAAGAATTCTGAATTCTTATAAGTTTCACACTTTTCCAGACACAACTCCCTAAATTCAATGTTCAGTGCTGGGTTCCATCAGTTCCAGTGAATACAACTGCAACACCACGATTTCCACAGTGTAAACCTCAATACTTCTGCTTTTGCTTCAGTGGTGAATCGTATGTAGCACAGGCATTTCCAACGTAAGCCCTCACAATTCCAGGTTTTGCATGGAATTCTATATGTGTTTTCCCAATCCAGGTGGAAAGACACCGGTTCCGACGAACTCCGACGAACTCACTGAAAAATACTGAAAACAAAAAACAATTCCTGGTCAGTATTGGATGTGTAATTTGCACAGAATCATCAAGTTTTGAGCATAGTTCATGGTGTTTTCATGAGATTTGTCGCCAATTTTAGGTAACCACACACCATTTCCAGGCATCAATACCAGTAGGATTTCAATATGTTCACACAAAATTTGGATTTCCGACAAACTCCGACAAACTCCTGCGAACTTCTGTTTTTTTCTGCAAATACCACTTAAACTTGGCAAATCACGGGCATTGACATCCTATACCAACGATTTTCCTGAACCTTTGGATGTCATTTGGTTTCCTTGCTCATTTTGCCTGCTAGGCACTTGGATCAGATCTCAGCACTTGTCTGTGAGAACAATTTGGAGCCAAAACTTTAAACATGGTGGCCAGTTCTTCCAACATGCGCTTTTGCGCATGTTTGAGGACGTTGATTACATTTGTACCGGTTGGATTGAAAGGGCTAGTTTAAAATGAGCATGTTCTTTTTGTCCATTGCACTTTGGGGGAAGTTCATTTTTGTGGCCTTGTCAGTAGTTTGTGTGCGTTGACCAACTCTAAACTCCTTTCAAAACGACTAGCAAAACACAAGGTACACATCTTTTGGCTTGGAAACACCTCTGTTTCCTGCGAACTACCCAGTTCACACAAAACACACATCGTATCATCAACAAACTTCAAGAAGGGGAATCTCAAACCAACCAACCAGCCAATCAACCCACCAACCAAGATCTTGATCACCCGAACCCTGAGCGAACCCTTTACTCGCGTTTGGGTGCCGGGATAGTCTTCGTGTCGTGTGGTTCAGAAGGTGCCGTGAATTCCAGCGACATCTGATGATCAACTAGGGGACGGTCACCCGGGAGAGGGAGGATGACATAATTCATCATCATTCCATCCAAGGTGCCAGTCATTGCCAGTCAGCTAGATTTGCTAACTAGTAACAAGAAGCTACTAGGGGCTCCTGGCATCGCTACTAGGAGCAAGGACGCTACTAGGGGCTCCTGGCCGTACTACTAGGAGCAAAGAGCAACTAGGAACAAGAAGCTACTAGGGGCCCATTGTAATAGCAAGACCGGCTTGTGGCCCGACCCAGGCGCCGGCATTCGGGCTCGTCGATGAATCCACCTCAGCTCATGTCCCATGTGCCACTCGACAGTCAAAGGTTCCAAGGGACACTCTGACGAACACATCACATGGCAATGGAATATGGAACATGTCTCCTTGGAAAAAAGAAGCTACTAGGAACCAGTGCATCGCTTCTAGTAACAAGTGCCCTACTACTAGTAACAAGAAGCTATTAGAAACAAGAAGCTTTCCTCCAGTTTCCTGGGTCAACCTCCGAGGTTCAGGGAAGCTCGTGGAAGAATCGGCAAACACGAACGTGGAAATACCCTTGACAGCGGACCCCCTTGGGGCACGTTTATGTGTATGTATGTGTATATGGTGTGTATCTATCTATCTATATATATATATATCTATATAGTTATATGGTACCCATCCCCCATGGTACCCATGTTATGGCAACCTTTCAGGTTTCAGGAGCTTGCAATGAGCATTCAGAGATATCATCAAACGGGGTGCCATGTATTATGTTGGCACATGCAGCATGAGACAGGTACACATGTGGCCTCACATTTGACCGCTTGGATAACCATTTGCCAAACTAAGCACAAGTAAGTCAGGCTGACCCCAACCGACCACAAAAAGGTGACATTTGGACATGACATGCCAGAAGCAAAGACTTCAGACTTCTCAAAACCAAGACAAAAAGTAACAAGTCGATGATCCGTCGAAACCACATCAAGACTTGGTGTCTGTTGTGTTTTTTTGTTTTGGTGTCCTTGTGAGGTAGATGTCACAAAGTGGTATGCAAATGAAAAGTGGTATGTTACTACTAGTAAGGCACTTGTTTCTAATAGCTTCTAGTTACTACTAGTAAGGCACTTGTTCCTAGTAGCGTGGCACTTGTTTCTACTAGCTTCTTGTTACTGCAAATGAACGTTACCAGAGAAGTGAGAAGTGCTGACCAATATCAAAGCTCAGCACATGCAACATACAGGCAACATGGGCGCGCTCAGGGCCTCCCGTTTGTGAGCGTGCACTTTCTTCATACTTAACTTTGTGTTCAGAGGTTTTTCCTCTTCTAATTTGCTTTGTCCTTGTCATATTAACTATCTACCCACAACTGGGCTTCATATATACTATATAGCCACTCTTGTCAAGAAAGGAACGCATGATGGCGGAAACCACTTGAAATAAGAAGAGGAGCCAACTACCAATTCAGCGCACAGACCAAGAAGGGAACATGCATTATTCAAGAAGAGTACCCAATCAAAGACTGGCATGTTCGCTAGGGGTGGTGGTCTACTAGAGTGGGAAGAGCTTTCTGAGGAGATGAGATAGGACAATTGTTACTTATTTGGCTCTCAAGGATGTTTAACGCACATAACCGAACCAATAACATGGAGCAGAAAGGAGCCACATTATAATGGTGTAGAACCTGCTGGAGCAATAGAATTGATCTATTAAGGGGATGCAACAGCATTGAAGATCTGAATAATCTAACTAACAAAAGTACAGGAAACAAGCAACCCAAGAAGGAAAAACACCACTATATATATGCTACATAAGTGGAAGCATTTCTAATTGAAGAGCTCTTTTCACAGAGGCAAGCAAGCAGACGACAAGAAAACCACAAGAAGTACTTCTTGCATGGATAGATGCTAACCAGTCCTTTTGCATTTGGCAGAGCCTAGCCCTTTTTTAGTCATTAAGAATGGCGCTATTTCAGAGTAACAGGTTCTGAACGAGACAGCACAACTTGAACAAAACATCTTGTGAAGATTGCCATAGCAGTCTTCTTTGTTTGGTGCTTAATTCAAAGCACAATTGAACGTATAGAGTGTATAGAGAAAGTTAAGCCAGAAACATATTATAACCTTCTGAGACTGGTAAGAGCTTGTAGGGAAGAGTGTTCAGGGGAGAGGGGGGGGCCATACAAATGAACATATGGTATTGTAAGTCAATTGCATCAGCAGTGAAAGAGCTGAATAAGAGGAACAAGAGCTTGTCAATAGTCGACAAGAAGCCAAGAAAGAGCTGCTGCAAAAGTAGGGGTATTGCTAGGTTAAGTAGTGGAATGGCCACCAAGAAAGCAAGCAACTGCGAGACAACCATTCATAAGCATACCATAATAAACCAAACATTACAAGGCAACGGGTTGACCTGGTCTACATCCTAATCATAGGTTGGTTTGGGCTGCCACATAGATAGAGCTGGAGCCCAATGCTCAGCTTGCAGAAGGCTTGGCCAAAACAACTAAAACGTACCAATTCAATGGACACTAGTGGAACATTAGAATATGGTATTGAGAAGGTTGGCAAGCTGCAGGCTGAACTCTGCGACACCTCAACCCAACACACAAAAGTAATCACAACAACTTGCCATGCAGCTGGCTACAACATATAGGTATCACGGGGGGTTGCAGTATATCATATGTGTACATTTAGAATTACAAACTGTACCGGGCATGCTGCCTTGCACACATTGGTGTGCCACTCGATTTGGGGCTCGCAGGTGTCATGGCCAATTTAATTAGCAACCTTTGCCGGGTCTGACCGCCCGCAAATTATTTCGATGGTGTTTTTTGATAAATTTTTGTGTGTTTCAGCACTCAGACTGGACATCAAGCAAGGAACTGTTGGATTGTCCCCGGTGGTAAGGTGCCAAACATGCATTCACCACCGGTAAAGCTCAAGTGCCGATTCGGGTTGGAGGGTCTTTACAATGAAGCGATGACCAAGAAGATCTACACAAACAGGCGGAGATGTACATCCATATCATATGAGTCATGAGTCCATATATATATATAGTAAAATATACAAATTAATTAAAAAATATAAAAATAGATATTATCCCATCATATTCCATGCAATTTAGATGGTTTCCCGGCACGGACGCACTCCATGGTCGTCATTGTTGTCAATGGGAAGCGCCAACTACTAAGCTATCGTCCTGATCTTTTATCATACAGGGTCATTTAGGGAGTCTCCGGAGTCTCCACAATCACTTCACTCCTTTCTTCAGGCCCATCGATGGTGATCGCGTGGTGCTTCTGGATTACCCGGTGACGGCGGACGGTGAGGAGATGACCGAGCGCATGCGGACCTTTGTGGCGGAGTCCGACGGAGACGGCGAAGTCGTGTCTCGCGGACCTGTGGTGCTGGAGATGTCCAGATGACCCGTCGCACGTTCTCCCTGATGAAAGCGTGGGGTGCTAAGATGTCCATCGTTATGACTCCGAATTCCTAGCAGGACTGTAGTGAAATGCAAGTTGAGCTAGAGACACAGTTGCTTGGCACTAGGCCCTAGGAATAAATTCTACCACTGGTGTATGCCTCCATCGAGTAGGTCCCCATGGTCCGCCATACATGATTTATGGTGCTGGAGGATAGGTACTATGACTTTGGAAGTCTAAACGTGTCTCAATCAACTCTCGCTCATGCTTGCTTTAGCAAAAATCTTGCACACCAGGCAACCCGAACTGGAAGTACAATGAAGTATGCCTTTTTTCTGGGGAGAACAATTGCTGGTCATCGATGTCATCACTTCATTTATATGGACATCCTTGTCATCAGGCTTCGTCCAGATGGCAGGGTGGCACATGTCCCGCCAAGTGGTGGAAATGCAGATTAAACGTGGTTGATTTGGAGACAACACCCACTTGAGTCAGATTCCGAAGCACACTTCCACTACTGTGTTGGTTCCTTTAGCTCCACTCATTGATAATCATATCTTGTTGATCTCGGCGAACTGATGCTGTTTCCCAACCCGCATTTGTAGAGCTGCACTGTCCAGCTCAACCGTTGGGGCAGCAGGGCAACGGCGGGACAGGTGGAATCCAGCTTCATTAGCAGTGAGCATCGAAGATGAACTAGGAATTCACAGGCCAATCATTTGGTAGGGGTATGTATGTCAGTGACTCAAGAATTGATCCTGTTAGAGTTAGAGAATTTGTCTTCGCTTTGTCAATCCTTTGTGCTCATGGAACCCAGTCGTCCTCCTTGAGGATCACCTATCGCTGGCAACTGACACTAAGATGTTGTTCATGATCGGGTAAGTAAGACGGTCAAATTGGATCTCTCCGCTGCCGATTGAAGCCTCCACTGCTACTGAAGCTGGGGCCATGGAACATCGCCGGGTCTCACAGAACGTGTTTTCCATAGGTGTTGGCGGGCGCCCCAGGCATCACACCGGTGTTTAACCTGTTGAGCGGTCCAGAACGAAACCTCGACAACTGGACAGTTAGAAGCCCTCCATGTGTTGTTTCTGAATAGTGTTGACACCTCAATGGAGAACAACTGAGAACAACACAAAAAAAAAGATAGTTCACTTGGAGCCAAGGATGCAAGGAGACAGTCTCATACTCTCCTGTGGCCAGAGTAGGCTTGGGACTCCGCCAGCCCTATGAGAATAGACTTGGCTCCAAAGGAGTTGAGTCTGAGAAAGGGCGCAAAAAGCTGCTGGAGGCTGCAGACTTGGACTCGGAAGTAGATAAGAAAAATCAATCCCTGGACCATCCAAGCGGTTGGTCAAAAGAAACCCATAAGCAATACAGGGCAGTCTGTTGGTGACAACGTCCTGGTCCTTCTAAATCTATATCCAGGAAAAGTGTTTCCCAATCGGATCGGCAACCCCCCTTACCGTAATTGACCTCCAATCTTGTCGTGGAAGAAAGAATGCAGGCTTCACATCTATACATGCCCTATTGGCTTGATAGAAGCAGGCGGTTCCTTTGCAATGTTATGTTCTTGGGACCTCCAACATTTATACAGCGTGCGCAGAGATTGTGGCGAAAGCAACTTTTGAGCCCATTAGGCTCTAAACAACTGTTTGGTGATTTCATGTGGCATTTCTACTTCCACGGCCAAACACATGCTGAGAGATTCTGAAAGGGCCATTTTGGTAGCTCGATTGTTTGCACAGGTGTTTGCAGTGCGGACCTCTTTCTGCTGCAACAAGCTGTTTAATTGAACAGATGCCCTAGGCCTGTGCCACCCTACAATGCATTTTTGTTCGTTTGCCTTACCTGAAACGTGAATTGTGGCAGTTCACGTGTCTTTCGGCAGATCCAATTCGGGAGAGTGTGTAGCTTGAGCCACAAGGAGTCAAACCCTACTCCAGCCAATTCCAGCATATCTTACATCTGGTGGAGACCTGGTGACCCTTAGCCGCTTGCCCCTGGACCAGGGGAGTGGAGAACTGCGTGCAACAAGACATGTCAGGCGCCTCGAGGTTTCTCCTTATCTTGCTGACAAGAAGAAGGAGGTCCGACGATCTGCTGGCCGCGGATGGCTGGATGGCGAAGCGGTGGGCGAAGCGAAGCGAACTGTTTCGGCGAAGAGGATTTAGAGTCCTGGACTCCACCCCGAGAAAGGAGGGTTCCTGTGGAGGGTTCAGGGATAAGTTGAGGTTTGTCTCTTCAAGCAACTTCTTCTTTAGCAGTTGCTGGGCCTAGACAACGAATCTGATGTAAGTGAGGGAGCTGTTGGTGAACGGTCTTACTTGATTTGCACATGTAGTAATATATGTATATATGCATATATATATATATTATATATATGTGTTTGGATGGTTGAAGGTGAGTACGATTTAATTAGTCAGACAGGTGACAGGTGACTACTTTGCATATGGCTTTCGGACCGTTGCTGGATGGTGCTGCTCAGTTCCTCAAGTAATCCGCAAGTGTTGTAGGCAAACAAAGTGTGCTGGACTTTGTCATAGAAACTTAATCCTGGCCCATTTGGCACGCGAGTGTTTTCAACGGAATGTGTAGAAAGATCGTGTTACTGTCTCATTCATCGGGACAGAGGACAATATATTTTCAAGAAGAAGGCCAACAAACTATGTTCCCAAATCGTGACATATTTATAACTACCCTGGAAGTCAAAGACCATTCTAAAAATGGTTGATCTGGTTATGTAGTGTAAAACCCTTTGTCGGACATGTTTTTGTTGGTAAAGGCTATTAATTAGATGATGGTTTGACTTCTAGGGTATATAATTGTATATTGCATAAATATATATATATATATATACTGTATACATATACACACCCATTTTGTCTTGTATCCGACCACCGGGATGGATCACAACCCTCAAGGATGCATGGGTCAGTATGGCATCAGTATGGACTCCTTGTGCAACCATGTTCTTTGAAGTGCGCACCCTCTCAGAACTGTGCCTCAAATCCCGAAGACAGCCATAAGTGCAGGAGTTTGTCAAAACCCTTCCAAGAGGGGCTTTCCAGGCGGACACTGGGCAAATGAATGCGAATGATACGTTTGGATTGATTGCTATAGGATGGACATGGGAGCCTCCTAGGTCCTCGGATTTGCTGAGCTTTGCAAAGCAATAAGGTGAGATCAAGGTTAGCCACCAACATTTGACATACCAAACGAATGCACCTGGTTTGCGCCATTCCCATCGAGGGTTTTCGGGTACGACGATTCCGAGCTCAGTTGAGGCAGAAGAGCTGCGACTCGAGATTTTAGCCAGAGAGATCAGTTGCGGGTGGAACGAGTCGGGCGCATGAACCAGACAACTTGGCAGCAAGACCAACTCGAGTTGGTCTTGTGGGTGATAGGGCTCAGACAGGGTCAACATGTATGTATTCTATTTTGAAGGGATGTCACGAAGCCTGATGAAACCACAACAACTCATGGTCGTATGCAAATGGTCTTCGGAGATTCTGTGAGTGGACGATTGGATGTATCAGTTTGGACGAGGCCCAACTAAGGCCATTTCAACGATGCTTTGGGGGCTTGACTGTTGATGAATATAACAAGATAAAGATGTGTACGATGGTATAAAACCATTTTGATGGATGTGTTTTGATCATCAGTCAAGATGAGGGGCTTGACCGTCAAGTGTTTGTTCCTGCATGCACCTATGAAGCATCACTCGATATCCAAAAAGCAACTTTTGCTTTAAAACAAGACCCGTCTCCTATTGGTTTGGAGTTTCCATATTTTATCATCTATCTACTCCAAGGACGCAGGATCACAAAAAAGACTGTACCTAAAGCGTACACCTCAAGACTTTGGAGCTTGGCTTGGATGGCTGCCCTGTCTTGGACCCCTCAAAGCAATGTAATATAATGTTGGTATTCAACATCACTGGATCCAGGACCAGGGTGAAACTGCCACATTTGACATTCACCTTATAGAACACCTTATAGACAGGTAGATCGCCATCCGATCACCTACTTGGAACCCCTTGGAACCCACTGAAACCATTCTTCGCTCGCCAGTCCCGCCCGGCCCCGGCTCTTCCGAACCCCGGGAAACCGCGGGGTGGGGGGGGTTGAAGGACCGCGGGGCGTTCTGCGGGTTCGGTGACGGGCTGAGCTCGGAGGGTGGCTCGGAGGGAGAGCTCTAAAGATCTTGCCCAAGGGGTGGAGAAAAGGTTTGGAAAGGTGGCAACAAGATGGTGGCTAGGTTGGATTTTTTGGGGGAAAGTTTAGGGTTCGGTGTGGAAGGTTGCAGAGGGACAAAGAGATTTCTATGACGCTTTACTATGCTCGTGCATGAAAGAGTATAGTATATAGAGGTTTGCTAGTGAGCTGGCAGAAGTGCTGAAATGTTTGCTGTCCACATGATTTGTTTCTTGGCGGCTGCATTTCAGATTTCAATGAAGGATCATCCAGGTTGGGCTGGGAGGTGGAAGAAGAGAAGATCCTACCTGGACAGTCTGCATTTGTCACTTGTACCATGCTGGACTGATTGGGTTTGATTGGCGTCCCAGTCGTGGGACGTTTGTGAAGAAAGGCGGATCACGTGAACCCTCTGAAGAACACCCCGAAACCATCCCCTCACAGGGTCAAGTATGCCATAGCGCCTGTCCATCATTTGGCTCAGCACCGGAGAAGAAGACGAAGCCGTCACTTCAGTGCGTCACTTCAGTGCATCCGAAGATGGGCGATGCGGGGAAAGAGATGAAGATGGCCATTACTTTGGTCAGTTCCTGGGCCAAAGCGAACGCGAAGGGTGCACGCCGTCGTGAGGGTTCGAAGAGAGGTGCACGCCATCGGAGATGATCAGAGTCGCTACGATTTGAGCCGTACCAATGGGACATGTTGGTGCCAGTTGAATGGATTGCTACGACGACGAGGACGACTTGCTGGATCGGTGGTCGGTTGTCCCAGTTGGTGGAATGACTTGTTCAACCATGGATGCATAGAGTCACAAAGTCAAGTGGAACAAGACACCAAACTAGCTTTACACCTTTCAACAACCTGCTTAATACAACGGATTCTATAATCAATCACAATTGTTCGAGGCCGGACCACGATAGCCATTGGGTTGCGTTGCTCTCCTCGTTCTGAAAGGGAAGAGTGGAAGTCCCCCCCTTGAAAATTTAAGGCTGAATCTCACTAACATACTATCCATGCATTTTGAGTGTGAGCAGAACTTGCTCATGCTAAGCCTTCAAGTTAAAGCAGAAGGATGATACCACAATTTTCGATGGACATCATCCCGATTGTTGCATGTGTTTGGCTGTGATGTCCAATAGTTTGTACTAGCCAAACAGCGCATTTGACTCAGCAACAGTCCTTTTGTATACGCACTTTGCAGGTCAATCCGTTGCTTACTGTGGTGCCGCACAGAGAATTCAGCTATAATGCTAGCCCCTCTTGGTAAGCCATTCTTGGTGATGATTGTTTTCTTCAACATATAGACATCCTTTTGATCCACCATACTATCTTATATGTTGTATACATATATGAACGCAGTTCAACTAACTAGCGCTTCACTTTTCAATGGTTAAGGGTTGTCATCTCAGAAAGCCCTGTTTTGGGCCGCTTCAGTTTGCTTGGCTCGCCCCTGGGTGCTTCCATGGGATCCTTTCGGGTCAGTTGCTCCCGCGGTGGTCGATTTGGAAGAGGAGCCGCACGGTGCCTGGTGTGGGTGGATTTGGGATCGTTTCGCCCATGTTTGGAGCGATCCGGCCTCTTCCAGAAACTCCAAATGTAGTGGCTGGAGTCGGTTCACAGTTCGAAGGAGTCGTTTTGTGGGTTACCAGATCTTGTGGGATGTTCTTCTGGAGTCCTTGCTACATCGAGAGTGGGAATCGAGAGTGCGAGAGCCAGCGCCGAAGTCCCACCCCTTGGAGTTCTGGGGTTCCAAATCTGAACTTTTCTCGACCCAACATGGGCATGGGTCATAACCTGGAGCCCGACCAGTCCACCAGGTCGAACGAAATTTCACGGTGGATCAACCGGTCGGTCTCCTGGTGCCATGACCGCCACATGGCTTGACAGAGACCTCTCCAGTCCCTGTCCCTCCGCTTCGCCGGTGCTCGGCTGTTACAGTAGGTGTCCTGAATTCTGGACTTTCCTCCAACATGGCTTTGGTCTGGATGCGCCCTCGACGTGTCCAACCTGTCCAAGATGAGGTGGCGCAGAAATTCCATTGCCCTCGCCAGTCTTCGAAAACGACGCCCGGCCCAAGTGTGGGGCGAGTGCCGGGCGCGCTGCATTCATGAGGTGTGCAGACCCACAAGAGGTTCACATAGGACGGTGAATGGATCAAAGGGCAGTGCAGGTGGTGCGTTTCTTTTTTCAACGGCAGGGTTCACCTCAGCGACCCCCACAGAATCGGACCTCCGCACCGCCCAAACCTGTTGCTGGCAGATTGAGTGTTTGACCCCATCAGTCAAGCCAAAGTGGAGTGGCACACCAAGGAGTGGTTTGGTGTATCGAAGAATGGTATTGCTATGATTCACATAGGTAGTTCATAAAATTTCCTATGGAATAAGCTCCATGAGCTAATTCCGGCATGGTTAGTAGAAATGCAGATCCCAGAGGGAATAGCTTCAGCTGTCTGACAAGGACCTCGGAAGAGGGTGGTCTGGATGCGGGACCACCGGATGTGGGGCACCCTCCCCGTTTGAGGAGCATCAAGTACGGCTCCAACCATACCCCCCAGAAGGTGCTTAGCCCCCCTGGCACCCATAACCATCTTCTCAGGAGGTAGTTGGAGCCTTAGGGGTATGAAGTGAACTCTCACGCTCAGGAGACCGTGCAACAACTCCGCCTGCGCTTGTCCAACGAGCTCAAAGTGCCCTCGGGCCAGGTGGCATTGATCCTCGTCTATACCAAAGTGAACGAGACGTTCAGTTTCCCCCCCCACACACCGATGGTTGACACATATCATCAGCGACAAACGTTTGAATTGAAGCTACGATAGCCCGGACTGCCCTCTGAATTGCATTAGTTGATCAGTTCACATCATCCAATGCAGCTTTGGGCATTTTCTGTGCTATATGTCCGAAAAATATGGAGCAATAAATATGATGGGGCAATCAATGGCAGCCTGAACCCTTTGGACTGCAATTTCATTGATCCTGGCACCCAAAGGACACGTCCGAAAAGGGGGGAAGTTTATCTTGGAGTGGTTCCTCAGACTTCATACTGATACTCCATCTACCATACCTTAGACTCTGGATATCCCTCCATCCCCGCAAAAACAAAGCAATTTTTAAGCCCCTCGTTTTGTGAGGAAAGCATCTTTCAGGGAAGCGAGACCGACCGGTGGTGATTCAGATCACTTCGGCCCGGTGGCGGTTCCTCGAAGCGGATCCGACTGAGCATTCACTGGCAGAAGAGGTGTTCAATATGGTCCATATGTTAAACATACTGTAGGTCACCAGGTCCAATTATTATAAAGTTTCCGACTGAGCATGTTAAAGAGCAGGTTTCCACTTTCTCACACCTTCTCCACCTGATCCCAGACCCAGGCTTTGCGGCTTCGAGCTCCTACGGGATGCACAGAAGATGGGGTCCCTCCCTTGCGAATCAGGCTGTAAAAAACAGCTGTCAGATCCAGACAGTTGCGCATCGGCATGAGTGGTAGCTGATCGAGCAGTTCCTGGAACTTATCTCTTATCATTCTCAAGTGCAGTCATCAATGCCGTTGGCCAACCGTGTCGCAAAATGTCGCAAATGTGTTGAACCCACTAGCTGTGAGGCATGTGCGAAGTGACGGTTATGGTCAGCAAGAAGTGGGATGACAAATTGCAGGACTCGCTGGAACATGTGTTGCTTCTGCGTTTGCTTCCACTACCACCAAGAACGAGTGCTCGTAGTGTCTACTATTCCTACTTGTACTCCTACCACCACCAACAGGAACAAGAAGAGGAGAACCACTTGGGACAGTGAGCTGCAGATGATTGATGGTTGCCAATCGTATATGATACCAAAGCCCTGCTAGCATCAAACAGGGTGGCATTCCGAGATCCATTTCTTCGGGATTGCTGATAGTGCTAGGAGTTGTTTCAATCCAAGAACCTTAGGTGAAATTGGTCAAGATTCCCACCATTTCGGTACCGTGCCTGTGAGTTTGGGTTAGAATCATTCTAACAAAAGCTTACTTGCAGTTCTGGGCCATGGGTGATTTTCTATCGCCTTAGGGCCTAACGTTTATGTTCACATATTGACGATATATATATATATATGTCAAATGTGAAATCAGCTTAAAGAATAACATATAGATTCTATGGATGTTTGCTTCACTCGGGTATCCTGCTTCTCCTCTCATTTGTGCGACCACTCGAGCCCGACCCAGCCCGACCCTATCCGCTGGCTGAAGCAATTTAGGAGCTGTTGGTGGATCCGGGCCGCTTCACCGCTGCTGGCTTGGCCTCCATGGCGGATGGTGCCTTGTTCAACTGGAGCAAAGGCGTGGGGAGCAGGAGGGTTTTACCTGGAGATTTCAGCACACCAGGCCACGATGAGGTAGCACCATGTAGAACCATGTTGCATGATCTCACAATCCAAGAGCTACACCGTGATGAATGCTGGACTCCCAGAAGATCGATGAAGATCGCAGTTTCGAAGAGGAAAGCGTGTGTTCTTCCTTCGCCACCGGACCTAGATCAGCCAAAGGCCCATCCAGCTTGACCTGACGATGTGAAGCGTTGCAGCATCCATCGCGGCAGGGGGCGATCGCCTACTCCAGGGCCCCGAGGTGAAGAGGACTTCGGACGATGGCTCGGGAGTGCTGGTGAAGGAGGCGTGCAACTGGTGAGGGCATGGGCTGCGCGTGCGCATGCGCTCTCAGCAGTATACCACGCTGCGGTCTGTTAGTGGAATATGTTTTCTCGAATATTTATGGTGAAATAATTCTCTTGTTTGGGTATAGGGGGTATAACATGTTATACGTGGGGTATGACCTGGAATAATGTTCTAGTCAAGTGTCCTACCAATCTCCTGGAGAGGGCGATGGAGAGAGAGAGAGAGAGAAGTCTCCCCACAATCTCTACACAGCCGGTCATCTTTATCAGCAATTTTGAATGGATCCAAGTTACGTAGTTGTCATTGGATTTTTTCAGATTTTTTCATATTTTTCTTATTGCTTCACATGCTTATCGATTCGGACCTTGACCTTGCTTTCCCTAGTTATTTGATCCCACCTTGGCCCACTTACAGTAATCCTTTGGGCCATTCTCTCCTTAAATGTAACATTGGGATATTCTTGGATGATACTACTGCTATCATGTGCAACCATCATGGAATAGTAAATTGACTATTGATATTCAGCATGTGAATGAGTTCAGTTTTTTTTCTCCAGGGGGTTTGCATGGGGGGGGGTATCCAACGTACCCCCAATGCGAAACCCTCGGGGACCCTCGGACTGACTAACATGGAGGTGTAAATTTGATCCTTAGATGAAGACTGACCGTTTCCCCACCTGACAGGATTTGTCGGAGTAGTTAGATTCTAGAGGACTAACTGTTTCCCTCATCGTGACCTTTGATGCCAGTGCCTGGAAACTCCAAGTAAACACTATTTTACTGCCAGTGCACAATCACAACAGCAAACAGAAACACAGACAACACGACAAGAGAGACGAATCAATGAAAAAGACCACACACACAATTGACAACACCGAATCAACATCAGCACCAGGCATCTCGCCGCTTGGTGTCCCAACCTTACATCAGTCGACAACATCTTCCGTGGCAAGCACAACAGGCAACCAACAATGAGACCTAGCAGAAGCACGTACACAACGTCCCGCATGATGCCGCGCGTCCCGCGTCCCGTGGCCCCGACCCAGTCCCACCCGTGTCCATATGACAGACAACGAAGATTAACACACACACACAACTTTTATCATTTTATATACATTTGCAATACCGAACATCACTACAACTAGCAAGTGACAGCACCCCAGAGACACAACAGACTACAAGCAATGACACACATAGTGACAACACCAAACATAACCACTACACATCCCAGGGATGCCTCGCCCGTCACTCCAACCCAGTTTTTTATATATACATGACCGCTCAGGGTAGAGTAGCTTTTCAACCAGGGGATGCTCCACTTCCGTGTTTGTTCGAGGGAGGGCTGCTGTATGTGACACTGTTTGTGTGTAATTGTTTCCACGCCTGTTGCTAAGGACCTTTATCTCTTACCTAGCGGGATGCCCCACCTTTGAGCAAAGGGCATTTTCCCAACAGGCCCTTCAGCGGGCGAATGGCACCAGTTGAGGCTGATTGCTTGAAGTTCGTCATGGAAAATGGAAGCTCACCGGAAGGAGGCCAAACACATGCCTTTTCGACGAGATTCGCGGTCGTTCAGTGTTGGATGGGGCTGTCAGGCTGTCGAAGTTCTCATGGGATTTTTGACATAGGGATGGCCGAGCTTTTAGCCCTAAAAGATGCTCCTCTAGCGGTCGAAAGATCAAAGAAGCGATAAATAAACTGTGAGCACCGTTGGATGTAGGCAACACGTGTTTGCATCAGACTGTGAAAAACATGCTGCACACGTTAGAGGCCTGTATTCTCCAGAAGTTGTGAGTGCAAGAAACGAACTGCTGTGCTTAGCCAAGGTGAAACTTCCCTTGTTTGGAAAGACCAAGCCATACTTTGGAACAGACAATTCATCGATATTGTAAAACCTGATTCCTGCACAGTATGGGCAAGTTCGAAACAACTGCCATGGGGGGCGCCTACAAACAATAACGAATCACTTGCAGATGTTGATGTCAACACAATCTCTAATGTCCACCCCTGAATAATAAACCCCCCCCTCCCCCTTGATCAAGTGCGGGCCCTAAAAAATGCAAAATCCAGAAAACTACCGGATAAATCTTGATTTGAACTTGAAATAAAGGGATCATGAAAGGAAATGAAAGGACAGAAAAGGAAATTAACGAAAATAGCAGGAAAGGAAAGGACATGAAAGGAAAGGAAGCAGCTGAAAGTCAGGGTCCATAAAAGTTTTGTATTATTGAGGGCCATTTGTGATGCGTTTTGAACAACATAGTATCATTCACGGGCCACTTATAAATCATCTGTCAACATTAAACCTTCGAAAGTTCACATTTTTTTTCCACCAATCTGCTCAGCCGTGATGTCGGATGTCCCGAAATCACTGAAACTGTGGCTCCGCAGGCCTTTGGATTGGCGGCTCTAAGTTCCGTCCCTGGGCTTTACGCGCGCGTCGCCTTGCGTCGTGTGTCGCGCGTCGCGTTGCGGAGGCGGTCGTTGCAGACTACGGCCGTAACATGAAGAACAAAGAAGCCGGGTACCACGGAGATCACTTAGATCACTGGTGGTATCAATGGTATCAGTAGCATTCCCTGGTTGAGTGGAAAGTGTGAAACATCATGTATATACCTCATTTTCCTTTTCAGATGATTCAGCACAGAACATCTTGGACCTTCTGGAGCATGTGCATCAATGTTTTAAGGACTCTTCTCATATGACGACACGGCCAAACTGAGGCATTGTCAAAGACACTGGGGATACGGGGGCATGTGCTTTAGGCATGTTATATATATAGTTATATATATATATGTTATATGCATATATATATATATATACCCTTAACAATTTTCTCTATAACGTCTCGGGGGTTGGGCAGCACAAAAAGATACACATACAACACGGAACTCTTTTTGTGCAGACATGTTTGCTGGTTTGACCATGGAAACCGTGAAGACAGACAGTGCCACTGTGCATTGATTCGATAGTGATTTAATGTGTCATTTTCGCGGTCTCATCATGCCACACGTTTGTTGGCTGGTTTCACGGTTGGGTTGTGGCTTTACAGAGCATCTTGCTGGTCACAACATTGTCATCAGTGTATATCAATTCATTTTGCATTTTGATCAGCACCAGTTGGACCCTTTGTCACACCCAGCCTTGTTCAGCTGGCGGCTTTACTCTCTCTCTATAACATAGAGCAACCGCCATGTATGCTTAGTCGCTAAGAATTGACATTTATATAATTGGATATGATGCGGATGTTTTGCAGGCTGGGGCCTTCGACTCATCAAGAGCATCCAAGAGTTGATTCCCCCCCCTTTGCTTAACAAGGTGTTCCACGGCACGTGTGGGCCTTTGATTCTATAGATTTAAGCCTTTCTGAAGTGCGACTACTTGATATTTGTTATAGTAAGTTTTTTGTGTGTTGAGGTCTGCGTTCTTCGCTTCATAGAGTCTTATAGCATGCACGCATGTATGAGAGGTTGTAGGCTACAACATTGAATCTATAAACATGCAATGCACGACGTGCTGCCTTGATCTAGAGAGGGGTTGTACACATCTCTAAATTGCAAAGATATATATGTATACACAATATCACCCAGAAGGTTCAAAATTTGAAAGTAGCTCGGCAATGAGATAAGACTATTTGGTTGATGCCATCTTGATCTTGGTTCTGCTGAAACTCCATTGGCCATCTCTTATTCTTGGGAACCTCCTGTTTGCCTTCAAAAAGCTCACTCTGGGCTTCTTTCCTCGGGGACCAGGAGTCCTTCGCCATGATCGAGAGGATGAACCCTTCACCACCTTGCACCTCGGCCGGACTCGTGCACCGGTGCGACTGCGACTTCGGCGGTCCGGCACCGTGGTGGTTGTATATGACTTGATTCTCTACTTGGCATCAATTCTTACAGTCCAGCAACTGCTTGGATACCACACCACAAATCTTAATGAGTACCTAAGTGCATTGTGTTGTTCCAAAGTGCTGGTGATTAGACCCCGGCCCTACATGAGTATATATGCTGGGGGAACCCCAGCCCCAACCCTTAACCCTTGGGGCCTTGGCGGCTCAAAACGCCCATGTGACTGACCCACTGAAAACCGGGGCGACACCCTGTGCCCAGAGCTTCGCTTCCAGGCTGGCCATCAGCACCTCCTGGCACTTGGATGGCCTCGGCATGGCACGCCCCAACCTGTCTGGAAAGGGGTATCACCATGTTTGACCCCCACAGTTCAGTGGATTTCATCGATTCGGCAGGTCTTTGTTTGACCCCACAGTTTAGTCCATGAGTTTGATTTGGTTTCTGAGACGGACCCAGGGCCTGACCAATGTTTTCTGCGACCGTCCAAGTGGAGTTTGTAGGGACGACAGATTTGGTGGGTCGTGGACACTCTCCATTGGTATGACGGCGTCTCAAGACAGGCTTGTATATGCTTAGTATATTATTTATCTATAAATAATTATGTATATGTTGGTGTGTTTGTGGATCGCTCATTGTTGATGCACGAAACTGACGCGCGATTCACGAAACTGGTGGAGCGCAAGCATATTGCACAGTGCACAGCTGATAATCTCAAGGTATCTGGAAATTCTCCATGGAAGGCATCAAGTGGCCAAGCTTTGTATTCTTATTATATTTGCAAAAGTGCGAGCGAAACCCAGCGATCAAGGGAGGCCTGTCAACCAAAATGAAGCAGCCAGTGGACAAAACCACTTGGTTTCGGGTTACTGTTGCTGAGAGATACCTATATGTTGTATCAAGCCAACCACAGCTACCTCACCAAGACAGGCCGAGATTGCGACCTTGAGTTGGATAGCTACTGTACCTGACCTTTTATTTGGTTTTCTATATGCTTTGACTCGTGGGACCTGGTAGTGACTCCAACGCAGTGGTGTCGAAGGGGTTAACACCAAAACGCTGGGGTCGCCTGCGGTCTCTTCATCCGGAGGTGGCCATCAGCACTGGCTCCAATGTCTTGCTTTGCCGCTTCGAACGGCCACGGTGCAGCAAAAAGACACCTGAGGGTTTTGAACGCTTTGGGTCATCCTTAGTTTTGCTTGGGATGATGCTTTTAGGAATGAAGGTATCAAGAATAAGCATGGATGTCAACTGAGTCTATTCCACAACGCTTGACATGTGCAGTGCCTCGGCGCATGTGCTGGTCTTTGTACTCCTTATCCCCCTTTCGCGAGCTGGCAGATCACATCATCCATCGAATCCTCACTATCATGCCTTCCCTTTTCAATCACTCTTCGCACGGAATATGAGAAACCCTCCTCATGTGTTGTTTCACCCTGACTGGTCCACCAGCTCGCTCGCCATGTCGCGCTGGACGTGTTTCAGGTGTCTCACCCCATGTCTATGTCCAAGGCCCGGAGAGATGCTCGCTGGGATCCTGGGGCCTTTGCGGAAGGCGGCCGCTGCCTTTGGTGATCTCATGTGTGCTGAGGGCATGTGACGCCGCCATGCGACGCCCGGCACAGAGGTTTTTGGAGCGCCTGGGGAGGGTGGGAGATGCACATGTTGCTTAATGCATCTTAATGCCGCCTGGACAGCCGATCTATATAGTTAATCAACATAGGCATCCAAAAAAGGGCAACGTGTTTAGCACACAGGTACCCATGTACGACTGCCGCATGTGGAGAAACATATGCATTTTAACCCACCCACCGAAGCCCAGGGCTGACGCCAGGGCTATACGTAAGGGAGTATGTAAGGGCTATACGTAGACGAACATGCAACGAAGCAACATGGGGAGCTGAGTCGCCTGGTGGGCTGGGCTGAAGTCTACAGCCCAGGTGGATCCGATTTCTGGTGAAAGAGATGAGAGGTCGTTTGAAAAGGCCTTTCTGAAAACGCACTGAACGATTCTACCAGGTGATGGAGGGGAGATTTTGTTCTGTCATCGGCACTGTATGGGCACTCCAAGTACTTAGTTATTTCAAGACAGACTGTGCAATGCCTGCGTTTGGAGCATAATGGGCCCAATGGGAGTCGCTTGACCCAGATGCATATGTGAACGGTTTGTTGTTTGTCTACGGGTCTCTAGTGGCATTACTTGCGAACGACGCCCAGCAGGCACCCAGAGGGAGAGTCGAGTTTTGTAATGCAAAATTGATGGCCGTAAATGGACTGCCCTCCCCAGGACTGACATGACTTGCACCTGGCAGAGAAAGACAGACAATCTTCCAAACCCTCCTGACAGAGTTTATGTTATTTTATGTTCACTTCGGGAGTGTGGAAGACGCGCTTGTGAGGTGCGTGGATCGCGTGCAGTGTCAGCAGCATCTTTGATAATGACAACAGTGCTCAACGGCAAAGCCATAATATGGAATTTCAGCCGGGCATTGTCCAAGTCACGATGCAACGTGATTTTGACTTCTTGGCCTTTGACTCACATAGTGAGCCAACGGGATGATCCTCATAAATCCATGTTCCACTCCGCCTTGTGCTCCGCAGAAACATTTGCCACTTCACGGTTGTCCACGACTGCGACATCGCACGATCATCCCTTTCACAGAGTGAGACGGCCTCGCTGTAGCGAACTGGGGGCCCACGTTCAGCGGCGTTGCACTGCAGCGCAGCTTGTACAGAGAGCAAGGAGTCCTGGCTTGCCAAATAGACGACTGCGCACGACTGGGGCAGCCACATGGTGCAAGCGACTGTGAGGTGGCGGGACGCAGGGTTTGGCATTCTGTGCAATTTGACCCCTGCATCTCGGGCTGCGAGCCCTTTAGTTCTTTACACGAAAATACCCTGCGCCAAAGAGACCCAAACGACAGGATACCAGTTCAAGGCCAACGGATCTCGTGTGGATTTCATATGATTTCATGGGTGTTCCTGCTTTCTGCTGTAGGTGTTCGCTCGCCTTTGATGTTTGCACACGGGCCGCCGATATCCGAAAACTCAACGAAGCGCACAGGAGCAGGACGAAGCGGCGGATGGAACTCTTGAAGGGCGCGAGCATCGCAGGCACCGCGAGCTGCGCGGTCAGAGTGGATTGGGGCTATGTAGAGGAACACTCACCTCCCGTTGTGCAGACCACTCCACTATGACAGGCCTCTTGCCAGGACTCTAGTCTATAACGTTCAATTGGAGGTTATGTTCTATTTGTGGGGGCGTTGGGATGAGGTTCGTTCACCTCCTGACACGCTCCTAGACACGCGCCAAGTATTTGTGAATGTTTGTGAGACAGTCTAGGAGCGTATCAAATAGACTATCACCCACTTGGATCCGATCCGATCCGATCCGCTGCTAACACCTTGCCGCCTGGCACTTCCCCCAGCTACTTGACTGGGACTCTGTCGACTATGACCAGTGGCCAGTCGGCCTCTTCGCATCACCTTCTTCACTGGTCGGAGACGACAGAGGGTCCACCCCAGCAGCGTGCTAGGCCAACGCCGCGAGGGGCATCAAACACCCGACAGCCCGGTCATGGTGGGGAGCCCCGGAAATTGGAGCTCATTTTGAGGTCTAGGAGTCTAGGAGTTTTCAAAAGACCATTGGCCTTAGATTGTAGACCATTCCTACCAAGTTGCTGATCCCTGTTCACTGCCATGCGTGCTGGAGGGTGTAGCCAGGAGGTCGTTTGGAACATGCTCAGGGTGGCCATGGGTGAGTTTCCACATGAGAGAATGTACTGGGCAGTTGGTTTGTGGGTATAACACACCCCGCATACCTCAAACCCAAAAGAAGTCAACCGCCTGAAGCTTTGGCTCGGGTCTTCTTGAGCCACGCAGCGATACCTATGTTTCCATGGTGACCCATATGCCGCTGGCGGCTGGCGTTGGTCCGAGGGTGCTTTATGGTGCGTTTTGGTGCTTTTTGGTGTCTCCATTTGACAAGACAGTTGATGGCAATTCCCAGAAGGTAGCTACTCAAGTGGAGGGGGGAGGGGTTCGGCTTACATTGAAGATGATGCAAGCTCTTGCTGGTCCTTATCCAGTCCATGAGAGAGAGAGAGATTAAGCATATATGAATATCATATATAATAACATACAATAATATAATATCATGTAATTAACTGGCTCTGTGTGACTCGTCGCGCAAGTGACAGTTGAAGAGTCCGGTCGTCGAAACGCAGCACATGAAGCTTCGGGGCCGTGTGGCAGCTCATCGAGACAGTGGTGAGGGCTGAGGGCTGGACCCTGCAACAGCACCCATCAACATGGAAGAGATGCTGGGAAGAGATGCCTGCGTGGTTTATTCTTTTGACATGTTGTTTGCCTTGATGCACGGCAGCTGTGCAGGGAGATCGATGCAATTTTCTTGGGCATGGCTGTCAGTCAGAGCCTCGTACCCCTCTATGAATGCCCTCAAACGAGTGGTCCGTCAGAGCCTCGTGACCCGTCCCCACTCACCTATACTGTTCTCAAGAGTATTCGAGTGCATTTATATCACATCACACCACTGCATCTTACATTAGCCACATCACCCAAACAAGCCTTCAACGCCAAGTCTCATGCCTAACACATCTAGGCCGGATCTATCTCGGGTGGCTCTCCAGCAGATGGCCTCACGGGGATTGACACCCCGGTGGATCACGGCAACCGACTAGGCTTGGAGATGCTGGGAGCAGTGGCAGAGGGAGAATGCACCACGTCAGACAACTGGAACGTATATTACATATTATATACATACTAGTATATAATATAGGATTAACATGGTCGAAACGGTCCATCGATTTGCATCGGTTCGATATACTTCGATTTCGATTTGTTTCGGTTCTGTATATATTGGATTATGTGTTGGTCGATTCTTTCAACACAGCCATTTCTTGATTTTTTTGAGGACAGAACTCGTTGTTTGGAATCTTCGAGGTGTCCGCATGCATGTGTTTGTTTTGCAGCAGTTTAGTTTGAAGGAAGACAACACCATAGGAGTCGGTTTAGAAGATGACTTCTTCGAGTGAGCCATAGTGGGGCTCCAAGGTGGATAGATTAGTGTTCTTTTCACACTTGACCTTGGATATCCTTGAACCATATTATTTATCAGGACGACAACTTGATGACTCGTTCGACCTGGCTCAAGCACAGACGTTGGGAGGATTCCATTTGCCAGGGGGCCAGGTGGTCTCTTATGTTTGAGATGTTTGGGGCAAGCTATGTGGGGCTTTCTGTGCTGGCCGCGGTCTTGGGATGAAGAATGGTCAGTGTCGAAAAAAGAAGCACCGCTTCAGGTTCTGCAGCAGAGTTGCAGCGCCATGCGGAAGCTCTTCGAGAGAGCCTTGGGATGAAGCTGCGGCCAGGGTTTTGTTTCTCTTCCGACGGCTCCAGCCAATCTCTGGGAGAGGGCGATTGAGGGAGGGAGGGAGGGAGGGAGGGAGGGAGGTGGGAGAGAGAGAGAGAGGGAGAGATGTGCAAGAACACCACGTACAGCAGTCCCAATGGGGGAGAGAGAGGGAGAGACAGAGAGAGAGAGAGAGAGACAATGTGACATTCGAGCTGAACATGAGGTCCTTTGAGTTGCAAACACAAACGGTGTGGAGACCTCAGCTTGAACCGTTTCTGGAGTAGTGAGTAGTGATCCTGGACACATCCAGAGGAGCTCCAAACAACAAGCACAACAGGTGAATCCTTGAGGGAGCTTAACATACAAAGCAACAACAGGACCAGAGCTATAACAGGATACCACGGCCCTAGCAACAGCTCATAGACCACCCACGTTTGACGGCACCTATGCAACATTCGAGGAGTGGAATACATGGAAATAAACGTGCATACACGGGGTCATCTATGCACAACTCTGCGAAGAACGACCGGAAGCAGCAACACACCTCACAGACTCACGCAAGCAGTGACAGAACAGGAAGACAAAGGATGGCAACCATTAGCAACAGATTTGAAGTACATACTGTACCATTACATACCAATCAACACCACTTGAGCAGCAGCAACAACAGCATGCAGACAACACCAACACGAAGCCCAGGAACGTCAGCATGGGCTACCTCACTAAACGTCTCAAGCCAAAGTTCAATGACGACGATCAACAACAGCAGCAACAAACAACAAACAATAACACCAACAGCAGCAACAAACAACAAACAATAACACCAACAGCAGCAACAGCAACAACAGCAACAGCATTAGTGTGGGGGTGGCATGTATGTTGGACTTCCCCTTGTGTGGCTGCAGCAGGAAAGGGCCATGTAGCACGGAATGGGGATCGTGGGCCTTTTGCAAGACCCTTGTGACGATTTTTTTTTGTTACTAGTAGCGATGCCAGGAGCCCCTAGTGGCTTCTTGTTACTAGTAGTAAAGCCAGGAGCCCCTAGTAGCGTTTTTTTTGGAGGGGTGGGCGTGGCAAGCACAGAGCTTGAGGTTTGGGGGCCCCTTGGTTTGGGCTTCATGTTATCGGACTCGTCGGAGAAAAGAGCCGGTGAATGTCAGCTTGAGCAGCCCTGCCCTTGTTCGGGAAACAGAGCTTGTACCCATCAAGGACTATGAATGCAGTTGC